AGCCCGATATGTAGTTGCTCCGGTGAAATAACAAGGGAAAGACTCATCTCTCAGTGTCTGATGCTAGATATTGCACGATAACTTTTTTGCAGCGATGGCCGGGAATGAATGGTCCATAGCGGTGCATACTACATTGGATCAAGCCAAACGCATCATACTTTTAAATATGATATTGTGTTTTTCTCCCACTATACTTAACAAGTAGAATGTGCGGCACTCTATCTATGTAACCAGGCTGGTAGTTCAGCATCCATCTCTATTAGCAGAGGATAGACGCTTGAATAAAACATAGGCTCCGCCTTCCATAGTCTGTACAGACTATAGGCATGAGTTGCCGCAACACACTCAAGATGCTACTTAGATATACTTTAATGTGCTGTTTAATTCAGCGTGTGGATCCGTGTTTTAGGTGCATATTGTATGAGTTTGATGTATGCGTATTTATTACATGCATAATATAGGTCTCTGTATGATGAGCATTTCTCCGAGATTATATAGATTCGCATGATTTGTACATCTACTCTGAAAGCATTTTCTTGTGTTGGCATTTTGAATTCTTTGGCGTGGGACCATATTTTTAATGGTTGATGGGCCTTAGTCAGAGAGGTCCCATGTGTTATAATGGCTGGACCTAAGTCAAGTTCGGCCCAGGGGGCCAACTTTTCGACACCTCCCAATCGCTCATCAGGGAGCCATACTTATAATATCATGAGCTGCATGCATATGACACGCACAATAATGAATGAAGGGAGGGCTGGAAGGCGAACATCGCAGTTCACAGTGTGGAGTTGTGGGTGTGGCGTGTTGATTCGCCTGTCCTTAGCACGGGCGCAAGTAGTCTGATGTTCGTCTCCCGCTCGGTAGGAGTTACGTAACTGTGGCCGCTGGGTCATGTGGAGTATAATTGAGGACTATTGTGCTGAGCGCTGTCAGGTATTTCTGTAATAAACCGAGAAGAGAGGATAGATGGTGCTACGTCTTACGAACGGAACTGCATATTATATTAAATTGTATGTGGGGCAGGATTAGGTTAAAGTGTACAACAATAGGCAATTTAGGAGTTGTGGTGTCTCTCACGGTGAGTGCAGTGTGTGCAGCGAAGGGCTCAAATGTCCCGATTGGTACGATTTGTCAATATCCATTCATAGATAACAAAGGAGATCATTTTAAAATGTGTAATACTTTCTTCGTGATCCACATGTGCAGCACATCACTTACATTGTCCTTATTTTGCTTGCGTGTTATGGCGTCTTCTAGTAAATGGCAGTGAGACATTCACTTACTCTCTCAGTAAACCGACTTAAGCAAAGCTTCGAGTCGCGGTGTACCGTGGTTAAATAGATACAGTAGCCCACACCAGTGACTTGTGCGACGAACAGCCCTTCCCCCCTCTAATCTAAAATCCAAAGCGAGCAATCCAACACGATCTCGACACATTGACGACTTTCCTCTCAGCTTATTCGATAGGTTTCATATCTAGTATCCGACTGATCGGACGCACCATCGTTCACCAGCCTACCCCGGGAATGGGATCTTTACTGGGTCAAAAGAAAAAACTCCATATCAGGTTAATTTTATCGGGTGTGGGATATCCGCTCTCTTTCGCGCCACGAAGTTCTACTATTATCACAAGACTGCCATTAGAGGATATATATTACTCCGCAGGCTGCAAGGGTGAAACAGCACCGACGAGTGCACTGCGAACCATAGCACCCCTGGCCCTTTTTTTTCCAAGACGCAGCGCAGAGCACACTTAGATCATCGGCGATCTGGCGCTCTCTTCGAGGCTAGAAATCAATTAAACACATCTCGCATTTTTGCTTGCGCGCTACTCGATCTGGTTATAAGGAGATTGACTTAGGTCATCTGTGAGACACCGACACAGTTACCTTAACCGAGCGTGCGCATATCTGTGCGTAAAGTTGGAGCTTCCCTCGCTCTCGCTCAGCGGGTCTTAGAAGTTTAGTTTGTCTCCTAGCGGGTGGGCGCAGCTAAGGGTGGAGGGCGCTATTTAATACTCATGCTCAAGCACATGAACTCCTGTCTAACAGTGTGTACATCTGTGGGGCAAGATTTACGGTTGAGCTTTACTTCACTATATGCGGGACAGCCATGGCAAAATGGTTCAGGCGGATTGACATATCTCCATCAACTACTGAGCTGGAAACGAAAGGCTGGCTCTCGTGTTCCGGTGACATCTGAGATGATAGGTCCATCACAACTCACGGACCCGCCCAAACGCTCTCGTTTTCCGCGTGACAGTCTGAAGGAAATCCGCGCCCAAAGATGGGGGAGTGGGGTTATCTTGGTCCAGGGAGAACGGAATTATTTTTTCTTCGGCACTGCCAGCAACTTTGCGCTCCCTCACGGTGGTGTGTGTGGTGACACCGCTCTGAGTATTGGTCTGACCGTAGATCTCGGCAGATTAGTAACGCATGATCCCAAGGTCGAGACTTGGGACACCAGATGAGAACCTGAGGGTGGCTTCCGCTTCTTCTGCCTTGTGCGCTTCGCCCTCGACCTCATGCTATACAGTGTTCTTGCCGCGGAGCTATACGTCAGGCCAGACGGAATGATAAAAGTGGACAAACAACAGAGCAAAGACCCACCCAATATGCAGACTCACGGCATAAGTGGAAGCAGAGGGAGCAGCCCCGTGTATCGATAAGGAAGGGATACGCGGCTCTGCCTATATACCGAGCACGGTGAGATACCTTCATGAGAATTTTAAACAGGGTTCAATCATCTTAAGCCAATGCAAATCCAATGTTGCCTCACCTCCTTTTGTGATTTCATTATGTGTAATTCTGCTATTTAGTATTAATTTATTATATTATTATTATCCAACAAAACACAGAAGCCAGGGCAGAATGCCTGTTTATAGCAAGCAAATGGCCGATGTCAAAAATCAAGTATTATTAGATGGTAGGTGGGGTGGAGAGCAAAAAACAATAGTTTATCATGATCGTGGGAGCTTGAGGATCAAGATTGGCTTTCACTTTGTGTCTATCACTCCCCCTACCCTCAGTTCTCTCGCTAAAACTTGATAGATGTGCAGCCTTTTCTCCTTAATATAGCCCCACAGACGCAGACATCAATTTTTGCTAGTTTTTACTACATTGCACCTATACAGGCTCAATATTACATTGTGTTAAGTGTTTTGTTTGCTGGACCAAAGAGCAGATTGGGGCCCTCAAAACGTGCATTAAATTGACTTGAAAGTCTTTATTGTCGTTGTACCACCAGTACAATGAGATTTAGATATACAGCTCGCGGTAAAAGTGCACACACTAATTATCACGAATATAAGCATACTAATACCAATCACAAATACATAATACATTAGTGCAAATTTGAATGAGTATGGTGACGCTTTGGGGAAGAAGCTATGCCGCCTGAGTCTGTTCGTTCCTGGCCCGTATTGACCTGAAGCGCCTGCCTGAGGGCAACAGGTTAAAGAGATGGAAGCCGGGGTGGGTGGTGTCCTTCAAGATGTTTGTAAATAAAGTTTTAAAAGAAGCAGATGACAGTGTTGCAAGTCCTTTGGGAGACAGACATCACGTTACAGTTTTGGGGATTCAGCACTTTACAGTTTGTGTGTGTGTTTTCACACATATAATAGACAAAGAAGAATGAGCATGATGTTGTATCACTGTTAAGTGATACACTGTTCAAATAAACAGGATGGCAAAATAACTGTCTAATATTTTCATTGTAATCAGCTACAATCACAATACAATACACTAATTCTGTAAAATAATAATGTATTAAGCGTCACTTGATCAATAATGTAGTTCTCCCATTCTAGTGCAGGAAGGTACACCAAGCTAAAACTAATACAGTCTAATGCAACAGTCCTGTAAATAAAGTCTACCTACATGAAGGGTCTAGGCACGCTTATTTAAGATTTCCAGGTTTCTTTCAGTAATGTATGTTATCTTCACTAGTTTTAAACAGAATTTCTGGGCTCACTGTGATTTGCTCTCTAAATTGAGTTTGTTATGACATGTCGTTAATTTTGGGGGGAATTTCACTTGTTGTGTTTCTTTACTGTCTGACAGGTAGCCTGTGTGTCTGCACTATTGTGTGACCAAACAATGGAGCTACAGGAAGAAAAGGTCAACACAGCCACTGATTGGCTGCCTGACCAGGCCACTTCCTGGCTGCTGGGAAGTGATTGGGTGAGACCAAGGGGGGGACCTGCAGGTTTTGGGAAGGGTTGAGGGGGTCTTTCGATTCTCTTCACACGTAAGGGACCCTAAAGTATGTATGTGTCTATGTGTATGTGGAGGGGGGGGGGGTGTTACTGCGGCCAACTTCCTATCAAGAGAATGGGGCAAAGGAAACAGAGGCAGGAGACAGGAAGTTGGAAGAGGAAGCTGCACCCATTGTCCCTGCACAACACTGTTCCTATGGCAACCGCCAGCGGGGTGAGAAGTCAGCAGAGAGACTTTGTCCCTTTAAAACAGCTCTTTAGCAATAATCGCATAGTGTGTATTCAGAGAAACATAGCTAAGATGTGAAAGAAGAGTTCCTTGGCCTTCGTATAATTTACTTATCTTATCAAAGATGATATACAAAGACTGTTACGAGGTAAACAAATGCAGTTAAGGTATGTTTCCGAGGAGACCTGTCGAATCTCAAAAAAGCAACGACTTAGTTTAGTTAGTAGGGAAGTTTGGGAAGCCATGTATTTGTTTTTCTTGTCTATATACCAAATTCAGTGATTCATCCTCATTCAATTATATTTTTGGTAATCTAAACAGCTTTTTAGAGGCAAGAATCAACTGTTACGGCACAATGATTAGAATATGCCGTTTTGGTTTTCCATTAAAAGCCAAAGACACATGCACTGAATCAAAGAATGACTGACCTGTGATGATGACCTGGGCATCATATGGCTCCATGTACCCATCATTCACTCCTGCTCGCTCAGCCTCCCTCTGCTCCTTGGTTTTCTCTGCATCAAAAGGATCTGCATAGTCCTCCAGGATAATCAGCTGTAAGAAAGAAACGCCCGGTCAGAAAGCACAATGCAGGGCTGCTATACCTATTCAGATGTTACATTTACCTGGAGACAACAGAGCAGCCGAGGGGGGGAAGGGATCTGATACAGTGTGTGTGTGGTATCCATGACTGAGTGACAAGTAATCCAGGGACATGCAGAAATACTTGAGCAAAGAGGTCAACGCATTGTGCTTGCCTGTTTGATGTAGTGAATGTAGTGAAACTGCATTGTGTTCTTTTGGGAGCAATGGAAACTGAATACAAGGTTATGAACTGAGGTAGGGAGTGTAGACACAAAGGAAAGCACTGACCTCAAGCCCACAATGAAATTTGTTTTTTGCACCATACATAATATTGATTTTGAATCTGCATGCTGCTATAACAGCTTCTGTCTGGTTTTGTTGGATAATAATAATAATAATAATAAATAGCAGATGAAATATGAAGATCACAAAGTGGAACATTGGATTTGCATTGGCTAAGATGGAACAATCTCTTGAAGTTACTCACCGTTGCTTTAATGTCAGACCTTCCCTTTTCGTTATCGGGCTGCTTCTGTTCACTTATGCCGTTGAGTTTGGGGGTCTTGTCTTGTTTGTCCACTTTGATCATCCTGCTGATGTAGGCTTGTGCCAAACTAGAGGTCCTGACCTGGCGGTTCTCATCTGGTGTCCCAGTCTCGACCTTGGAGTTCTTGCGACTTTTTCCAGTTGTGAGACTATCCCAGACTGTCCCACCAGAACCACCGTTGTTACGACCCAGTTCTGTAGCCGAATTTTTCCTGTTTCTCCCTGCCAATAAACCCCCCACTCCTCCATCTTTGCGCGGATTTCCTTTCAGACTGTCACGCGAAAACGAAGGTTTGGGTCGAGTTTGTGGACCAGATTCAGAGGCCGAACGAACCCTTTCGTTTCCGTTTTTCAGATTGATGGGAAAATCCCTGAACCATTTTGCCATGGCTGTCAAGATATTAACACTTCTCACAGATGTAAAAGTTAACAAATCTGTTGTAATTTATATGTGCTCGCATTAGCTGCCCCGCTAGAACTAAACTTCAACCGTGCGCAACAGCTCCAACTTTACGCACAGATATGCGCACGCCTCGGTTAAGGTAACTGTGGTCTGAAATGACAAGAATCTCCTATAACCAGATTCAGAGAGCCCACTTCATGTCGTTTAATTGATTTCTAGCGTCTGAAACCCCCTGACAACTTCTGGTGCGTCTTGTTGGCAGTCATTGGCCAGTGACTCGTCGTTGCTGTCACCCTGCACCTGCAGTAACAACTATCCCTGCAGTTTGAAAAGTAGCTTCTGGAGAGCGTAAACTCGAAAGAACTCGAAGTTTTTCTTTGAACCCAGTAAAGATCCCATTCCCGGAGCGTGAGATGGTGCGTCCAGTCTGTCGACTAGATGAACTGATAAGCTGGAGAGGAAAGTCGTGTGCGCAGACTGTGGGATGTCGCTGGATTTTTGGGGAGGGGCTGTGTGCACAAGACGGGTGGGAGTTTTACTGTATTCATTTAAACGGGTACACGACTGAAGCTCCAAACTTTAGCAGTAGTGAGTCTACTGCCAACAGACGCCTGGCAATAAGGAACATGTAAGATCCAACATGTGACAGAAGAAAGTTATTACACCATTTGAAAAATGTTCCTTTGATGGTTGACATCGACACGGACATTTGCAGTGACTGATCACGGACTGAGGAGTAATCGTTTGCCTAATTTGTTTGTACACTTAACCTAACCTGCCCACATAAATTAATCTTAATATGAGTCCGTTGTAAACGAGCAATGGTATAGTTGTGAACTGGTGTTTTCATTGTATATTAATGTAGCCTATATTGAGGCCTAATCTTTAATTCTTTTTCAAAAGTGCCCTGGCCAAGATAGGCAGCAATAACAATGGACGATAACATAACATTAAAAATATGGCCCAAAATTCAAATGCAAAAGAAATGTAATTATAAAATCATGAATAAAATCTCAAATCATATAAAAAATTGCATTATAGAAATAACCTAAATGGCACCTTAAAACACCCCCTGAATAAAATATATCTAAAGTAGCACTTATTGGGCATCATGCACTTGTAGCTGAGGGGCTTTTTTTTCAAGGGTCCCTGATGATGATGCTGAACTACCAGCTGGTAGATAGTTGCGCCATCTACTGTTAAGTAGGAGAAACAAACAAATATAGCGGCACTAGTCTGTATTCACCTTGGGCCATCACCGATGCTGAAAAATGTTTCTTTATCTGGGTCACACCGGTAGTTTTCTTGTTTATTTCACCTGGAGCAAACATACGGGCTTCCGTCTTTCAGCGAAAAGGTCACATAAAGCGGCCCAGGACAATGAATGACTGACGTTCAGATTTAACCAATAGCAAACGTCGCTGATATCTATAGTCCCGCCCACATCTGCTCGCTCATCCAATCACAGCGCTCTCTCCGGAGAGGCTGGGCGGGACGGTTTCATCCCTCACAAAGGTAACAGGTTGCTGTCGCCGCATAATGAACTTGTAGCTGTGTTAATTTACGCAGGAGTTGTTTGTCCACCCACTTTTCTCCCCCTGTGTGTACTTTTAATGGACGTCTGTGAACATATTTGAATCATTATCGACATAAAAGAAGCGAGGTGTCAAAGAGGAAGCAGAGGAAGAACTTCGGAGAAAGAGGTAACTTTACGCTTTGGTTTTTTGGACTTCACAAAGCCAGACAGCTAAACCAGACAGACACGACCTGTCAGACAGTTCTGCCCTTTGTGGAAGGTGTTCTTGATGCTATGGGGTGTTTGTTTCTTCGGTTACGTTGGTTGTGTGATCATTTCTCAGAGTATTGTGTCTCTGAGGTTTTTCTATTAGCCTGTTTAGCTTGGTAGCCAACGTTAGTTTGATGGGATAGGCAGTGTCTCCCCCCTCCAGCTAACGTGACTTCAGGATAACTTCTGAATTTCACAATCAGAGAGATGTCTGCGAATGTGTCTATTAAATGTGTAAGTACTCTCAGGGTGGCTACGTGTTTCTGCAAGTCAAGAAATTCACAATTGAAAAGCTGTTTCACTCCCAAACAGCATGGTTTCTGTGCATAAGCTGTGTCTCTGCACTGTACTGCCAGGGGGGATTTGTCACTGGAAAAACTGAGCACTGACAAACAAACAAGACCTCTGAGACAGTTCTGAAGACTCCAAGAATACATGTAACCACATTTTCTGATGCTTTAAAACCTTAAATGCAACATAATTATAAGTTCATGATGAGTATCTCCTGCAAACTCTCGAGGAAATGTTGAAGAGCAGGTGAATAATACAGAGATACTTTTCCAGATTCAAGCTTGAGTCAGATGAAACTGTGATGATGCCAGCGAGAAATAAGTGCAGATTATAGTTTTGAAGTGTGCGTTGAAGCTCAGTAATTATAGCACTGAACTTGCTAAGCCGCTGACCACGCTGACAGTTTAAAACAGGCTTTCAACCTGGTAACGGGAAGTCAAATGTCACAGGTATAAACACTGAAGTTTGCAGATAAAACCCAATAAATCAATCTCTCCCACACTCACTCACATACACACTGCCTGTGTAAGGGAGGAGGATAGAGAGAAACAAGTGTCTGGAATGTGGGCGAAGGGAGGGGCGTGTTTATGTGCTCCTAATATGGTGTCATTTGTGTACTATTTGGTGACACTGAAGCCTCCCTTTGTTATGCCAATGAAGTTCTTTAGATCCGAAAGGAGGAATAAATGGCTGTTTGTTTGAGTGTGAAAGAGGAGTAGTGGCAAGTTTGAGAGAGAGATTGACCGCTGGAGAGAGGAAGAGGGCCCTGGTTTAAAGTGAAGAATGTAATGGAGAGGGAGAATACCCCTGAGGACGGAGTGGCTGCCTGTCCTTAATAAAGGACACAGAAGGCGTGAGTGGTCAAGGTTATGCCCCTTAAAACTTAAAAAATAAGGGCAAACTGCTGTTTTACAGCACACCCGTGTTGACGTTAGAGGAGGCTTTTGATTAATTGATTAGTCTGTAAACTAAAAATGTATTGAATTGGTAATTGATTCATTATTTTAATTAGTTTATCCAGCATAAAATGTAAATATTATCAAAGTTCTATCTTATCTCCCCACTGTTATATCAGTGTAAATTGAATATAAGCATGAAAGTTCATTATTGGCCTTGGAAACACTGGTTATACATACAACCTCATCTATAGCAGATGGAAGAGTTTGTGAAATTATAATAAATAATTTACTTTATTTTCTGACCTTTTTATGTTCTATATAAAATAATCAACTGAGAATAATTGTTAATAATCAGAAATGACCGTCATTTACATTCTTAATACATTCTATATACTAAAAACACAGTATATATGAATATTGTACGTACAGTTCAGTATGTAGGATGGATACATTTGCGCATGTTAAACACAGCACCAACAACATTTGTATTCTTTGGTTAGTTGTCATCCAAGGTGTCACTTAGTTTAAGTTTTGACTCAAAGAACCTTCAGCCTTTGCTGCTCTTCCCAGCAGTACCAGTTGTAGGCCAGAGATGATCTGATCACATGAACCATGCTGACTCAGTGAGACTTTTGTGACTCCACACATTGCTGTTGTTTCATTTCTCTCCACACCCGCTCTAATCTCCTAATTACATTTTCCATTCCATCTCGGATCTTAACAGGGGAGCAGCTCCAATTCAATTTACTGTGCGAGAATTCAATTTGAGGCCAGTGAAAGCAGAAAGGGCCGTCAGCATAACTGCGAGATAACATGACTAGCAACAGAATCCAAAAGCACCAGATACACTTTGAGCTGGGAAAGCAAGTCTGAAAAATCTGATCTTATGCTAAAGTCACATCCTATTAAAAATTAAGTGTGGATAAGAGACCTTTGCTTCAGAGCCTGCTCAAAGAATACTGAGACTTTAACTAACAATCTTTTAAATGATCGATCTTATCTATAAAATATCAGAACGTAATGAAAAATCTCAATAACCTAAAGCCCAGGGTGACAACAATACTCCGTTTACTATCGCATAAGATACAAAAGCAACAAATTATCACAGTTGAGCTCAAATAAGAGCGTAATTATCATTTAATCACTAATTGATTGAACAAAGTCACATGCACCTTTTCTTTCAAATAAAGACAGCAATAACATTAGGTGTGACTGACAGGTTAATATCATAGCACAGGCACTGTATAACCAAACGGATTACAGAAGAACTTGTTTGATATCATACTGTTAGTATGGGAAGGATGTTTATTTTAGAGAGGTGTAGAAAGAAATTGGCTTTAGGGAGAAACCTAAAGGGGGGGCAGGGGGGGAGGGAGGGAGGTGGTATGGGGCCAGAAATATCAGGGTTGAAAGAAACCTGTTGTTATCAGATGGGCAGCGTGAGGGAGGGAAAGGAAGAGCACGGGATCGTTTTGGCATTCTCAGAATTGCTGCCCTCATTTTCCGCCCCACATCAGCTTGACAATAGGATGGGTTCCCCCTCACCCATTGTGCATTCTTCCTCGGTGACACAGAAAAATGAAACCGATGAAGTGATGCACGTAAACAGATATTAGGGAGGTACAAGTCTTGTTACTACCCTCAATTTACATATCTGTATGTTTGGCATACTTGCATATCACCCTGGTTTGGATCGGTATCTCACGTAAAATCACCGGACATTGTCCTCTGCGTTCATCACATGGCGTGTCTGCGCCACGTTCGTCAGTGCATGACACGTTTGCTTGACCTTGCTATGAAGACAGTGGGCTGCAGATTTAATGCTCAACTGCACAAATGTGTTGTGACACGGTGCTTCCTCTGTGGTTCCCAAAGGGTGGGGGGAAAAATCGACCAACTGCACGTCAGGTGCAGGACTGTCTGCAGACGACGCTTACGCACTGCAAGCGCACAGATATACTCAAAAGGTCATTCATGTCATGTCGCTTTGCTCTCACTGCCAGCCCAGACATTTTCCATCACCTATTGCTCCAAAGAAAAAAGTATTGACTTTCACAGCAGGGACATTTAAGATTATCCGTCTTGGCTCACTTTGCTGACTGCATCTTATGTTCTTCACAGTGACTCTGCGTGTTCTGGGCTGCGTCATGCAGTGTCCAAAATCTGTATGGAAATGCAAAAATGTGTGTGTAGGCGTTCAGTAATATATGGGTGCATGTGTCAGTGTAAAACAGAGGTCACTGTTTGATGGTTACGCTTGTAGTCAGTCCTTTTGTGTGTATGCGGGGGGAGGGAGGGTTGTGCACAGGAACAGCTTGACTTTGGATTTTATCACACAGGGCGCTGATAAGAGAAGAAAAGCTAAGTGTTTTTTCTCCTCTCTTTTTCTCTCGCTTCACCCTCCCTCGGAGTCTCGCAGCCCACTTTCTGTCTCTCACCTTGTGGAAGCTGTGGAGAGGAAGTAAAAGGTGCGGAGGTCAGGAGGGAGTGTTGTAAGGTTCGAAGTTAGTTCAATGACCCATATCAAAGTAACAACATGGGATGAGATCTCACAATGTGACCTAACACAAGGCATGATCAGTGAGTCAGCGTAATACCGGTAATGTTCATTTCAGTACTTTTTTCTATTGTTGCCAGTGACGTTTACCTAAACCTTGACATACAGCAGGTGTTGAAACTACACATAGTTTCAGGATGACTCATCAAGAGTTATCAGAGTTTAGGAAACGGGAGGATTAGGGAGTCAAGAAAAACATTAAAAGTTGAGAAATTACTGTGGAAAAAACTAAATAAATGAAAAGGCCCTTTTTAGTAGCTATGGTACCTGTCAAAGTTCTGTTGAGGGAAATAGGTGTAGTATCTGGCTGGGAAAACGTCCAAAAGTTGGGAAAGGCTTAGCTGATCCTTACAAGGGGGAAAGTGATACATGGGTGTGTGCTTTCAGGTTAATGACTAATGGAGTACACTGAGGTCAAAGTCCACACAAGCAGTCAAGAGCCAGAAACTGTGTTACTGCCTATAAATCTGTGTTCTTGTATTTGTTGAAAGCAAACCGCGTCTCTGCGTATGTCTAACAAGGTTTGGGCATTTCAGGGTTCTAATGAGGTTCTAGGTATTCTTTGTTTTCCTAATTTCAGGGAAGAGTTGTGGTATGTTAATCTGGCTGATGATTGTATTGTAGAATTGTCTTCTTTCTTTTTTTTTTCTTTGCTTCCCTGAACCTGCTATTGTGAGTATAGCCTGACCGATACTGGATTTATTAGGCCGATACTGATAGATATTTGGGAGTTTAAAATATAAATCGAATTATAGTCATTTTTAAAACATGTAAACCACCTTGGTACAGATCCCTTAGAGTTATTTTGAATGTAGCTCAGGTGGTAGAGCAGATAATGTGTAGCGTTGGTGGTCCACATGTTGAAGTGTTCTTGTGAGTGTAAAAATACTAGACCAAAGCTAATATGTACCATGTTGATCGGGGGCAGAAATGAGCCAAAACCTAATCACGTCCTTGCTTCCTTCTTCTTCTCTGTACTACCCTCTGCTGTGTTACCAGCATGAGCACACCATCTTCAGGTCGGAAGACCCCGGTGGACTACGGTGTCCAGATCCGCTTCATCGATGACATCTGCGACACTGGTGGGGGGCAGCCCGGGTCCCAGCCCAGGTCCCAGCCCGGGTCCCAGCCCAAGCCCAAGCCCAAGCCTCAGACAACCTCCAAATACGGTGTGGCCGTCAGGGTGCAGGGTATTGCTGGCCAGCCATATGTGGTCCTGAAGGACGGAGAGAAAGGAGACTCATATGGGGTCCAGCTCAGGACCCAGTACCCCTCTGGTTACAGCAGCCTTCCCCGGAGGAGAGAGAAGGCAGAGCCAGGAGTACAGGGGCCAGATGTAGGAGGAGGAGGAGGAGGAGAGGAGGAGGAGGAGGAGAGCAGGGAGGTGCTCTACGCCGGGCCCAGTCCCATGGCTCGCTGCTGGACAGAGATGGGGAGGGAGGGGCAGGCAATGAGGATTTTCAGCTGTCCAGGCCACCAGGGGATGGGAAGTCTGGTAGTTATGGGAATCTGGATGGAGGAATTGGGGTAAGGGGGGAGAGGGAGCAGGTTCGGCATGTCGGTGGTAGAGAGGGGGACGCGGAAAGGAATACGTGGGAGGGTTCATACACAGCCGGACTCAACGGGTCAGTGAGGAGCAGTCAGTCCTACCCTGATCCTCCTCAACAAACAAATGAGCTTCACTCTAATAAGAGACAGACTCCTGTCAACAGACTAATAAACAGGTTTGATGGTGGTAACTCTGGAGGCCAGCAGAGAGGACTCCCTCCTGTAGATCCCTACACCTCACCTCCGTCCTCAACGCACAGCAGCTTAGGACACAGCCAGGCCGCTGTCACCAAATCTCCTGGACACTCCGCTAATCAGTGGACTCCGCCAGGGAAATATGCCGCTGTGGAAACGCCGCAGGCTATTCTGACTGAGGCACAAGTAAGAATATAATGTTTTGTGTCTGTGCATTACAGCTGATTTTAGTAAACTCCAAGCACCATGTAGCATGCAACATTGCAAGAGTAGTTTTCTGATCTATGTCTCAAGGTGACTCCTGACCTTTTGCTGGACCAGGGTCAGAGTGCAGAGATGACCAGCGAGGAGGAGCAGGTCATGCAGACTATATACAACATCCTGAGACAAGGGTAGGAACCTACATGTTATCCTGGCATAGCACATAGAGTTTTTATTTAGTTGTCATAATACAATTGTAATGCATGATAACATTCATTTGTTATATATTTGGCCATTTTCACTTTCTCTCAGGACCAACGAGAGTGATGTTATCATCAAGCACAAAGTAAAGGTCATCTTTCAGAAGATTCAGAATCTAAAGGTTTGTCCTAATTCCATGAGGTGTTTGTTTCTGCATTGGTTCGTATGTCGAGTAAAGAGAAGGTATGAACATTGGGATTGTATATTGTGATACAGTTTATTTATATTTATTTATTTATCTTGCAATTTTAAATACAATCAGATAAAATCTGAGTAAAAAAAGGTTTTTGTTATGCAACCAGAAAAGTGGGATCTGCATTTGTATTAATCACAGTCCCTTTAACATCCAACAATCAATACAATGATTTTGAGAATTGATTCCACACCACATTGATATCACAAAACACAATATCACAATACAATATTCATTTCATTTTCTTACACCACGAATGAGCCCTTTGCTTACATGTATGTTCCCATATTCTTTTTTTCTTCAACAGCCCAAAGAAAGGCCTCGGGAAGAGTGGGTGAGAGAAAAGAGGGAGCTTGAAAGAAAGATGGCTGACCTACAAACCGCCCTGCAAGAGGAGAGAAGGGTAAGCAAAGCAGAAATAAAGATGTGAGGGATTTGAGAGATTTTTTACACTGTTGCAATAGTTCAGAGTTTATTGGCAGCGCTGAAATGTTTTTGTGTACTTTTTTCTGGTTCATAAGATACAATTTTATTTTTAAATAGAATAAACAGCATGTTATGTTTACTTCCTTTTGATTTTAAAGCAGCTAATTTCCAATGTGTGTCATTTTACAATGCCCAACATAAGGTGGGAGGGGGGGCAGGAGTTTTAGGTTGTTACTGTAATTTCAGTGCCTTGGATGAACCTCCAAACAACCCTAAATTCACTCGCCTGATTAGAACTGGCTGCCACCAGAGGATGTTAACATTCAGAAAGTAACCTGCCACTTTAAATCAGCTCTAATTACATAGTGCACATCCAGTGCCACACATAAACACTCATCCAAGTCTCCTCGAAATGAGAGCACCAACTATCAAGTGAAGAAAAGCTGTTGGTTGCTTTAGAGTAGGAAACTCCTCCAAGTTTTTCTGTCTTTTTAACTAATCTAACCAGGAGGACTGGGGGTTCCTTGGAGTGTGCTTCAGATTAATCCTCAGATTAATCCTTAAAGCCCTCTGGGCCAGTCGAAGGTGCACAGACGATAATCTAACTTCAATAATGACTCATTATATGTTGCTTAAGGAAGGTGGGCAGGTCTTGATCTCTAATAGCTCTTAAGAACTTAATCCCTTATGCATATTGATCGGTGGGCAAATGCAAGCCCGCTTTAACATTTCCTAAAAGCCCACTGTTTGTGCCTCCAGAGCTACTTGATGTCTAATGTTTCACTGCTCTCATTTATTCATCATGTCTGCTCGTCTGTAGGACTCTGTTAGCAATTCTGATCCCACTCTGAAAGCTGAGCTGGAGTCCTGTCTGGATGAAAATCTGCAACTTCAGGAGATGCTGGACCGGAAGAAGAAAGAATTAAATGAAACACAATCAGAGTGAGGATACAACAGCACTCACACACACACACACACACACACACAGGGAAGCGTGACAGGACGTGGTACCATTGTCTGTCTATCTTGGTGGTCAGGAGTGAGAGGGGCGCCTGACAAGCCCACTTTGTTTTCAAGCACAAACCCCTCACAATTTCATGAAACAAGCTGCAACTGTAACTTATTCAGAAGACAAACAAGTATGCCACAGTCATATGAATTCAAAGAATCATTCAGTAATGTATGTGTTTTCCTCGCAGGCTGACTCAGCTGCGTATGGATAGGGAGAACGCAGAGGCACGGGTCAGAGAAATGGAGGACCAGCTGGCTGAGCTCCAAGATGAAATGAGAAGAGAGAATGGCAGCAAGACGGTATAAGAGAAACATAACCGCAGAGATATACAGGGAGAAACTGTCACTCTACTGTTGAAACAAGCTCAGACTCAAATGCTTCTCAAGACAGCATTGTTATCATGTAGCATCATACTGGTTGATAAGTTAAAAAGCTTTTGCAGAAGCAAGGTTAACCTAAATTCCTGTTAAGAAGAGCTGTATAGGGTTTGTGTTAAGAATTGTACTATAATAGAAGAATACTTTACAAAGAGTAGGCTGATATCAAAGTATCAAGTTAATAATGTGTATTCCCCGTGCCTGCAGGATCTGATGTCTTGTCAGGCACAGCTGATGGAGGTATGCCAGCTGAAACGGAAGCTGGAGGAGACGCTAAGACAGAGAGAGAGGGAGCTAACTGCTCTCAAAGGAGCTCTGAAGGAAGAGGTGGCCACACATGACAAAGAGATCGAGGTGCTCCGGGAGCAGTACAGTGTTGACATGGAGAAGCTCCGCAGCAGTATGGAGCATGTGTCTCAGGTGTGCACACAAACACATTATCCAGATCGTCATCACTTACAGTTGACATGAAAATGTTTTTAAGTTGGAGACAAAATGGGAAAACCTAAAAAACAGACCCAATGAGCAAAACTCTGACAAAACCTCTACATACTTGTTTTTCTTGTTCAGTGACTCAAGGATATTTTGACAGGATACACGAGTAAACCTAAACCCTGCAGATATTGTTTCTCACTGTATATAGTATATACACTTCATAATATTTACAAAAATTAAAAGTTGCTTCATGTTCCTTGTGATTGGGTTCTCTGTGTATAGTACACACAGTATCAAAATGAAAACAGCATTATACACAGGAGGGAACCACAGCACACAGATAGGGGGGCATTTTCACACCAGTTTGACTTCAGGAAAACCCTTATAATGGTTCATTTTTATGTATGAATACTGGTATACCACTTACATTAACATGCTCAGGTTTGTAAAATGTATTTGCAGACCTGCTTTTTTTTTTTTTTTTGCTTTAACTCATTCTCAGGTCAAGTCCACTCTAGTCTCCATCACACTAATTTCTACAGCACCCACATTCACAATAACCTCTGTTGTACCTTTATTCTTTTGCCTCCTGCTTTAGTCTCATGCAGGGATCGAGGCAGAGCGGCTGCGTGTAAATGCATCGATTCGCTCCCTACAGCAGCAGCTGGAAGACTGTAGAGATGAAAGCAGCCACTGGATGGAGCAGTTTCACGCCACTAGAGACGAACTTCGAACAACTAAACAAGAGTGAGTCTATTGTAATACATCGTATTGTATTCATACTGTACCTACCTGGGCCTTGGAAATGGATTTTGTCACCATCTTCTCATGGTTTCTCTTTGCACCTACTTTTACTGTAATGAGTGTCCATCTCTTCTCTTTTATTTTACCTGGTCAATGTTTCTCCCCCTCTCTGTCAGAGAGCCACCCAGCAGCCATGAAACACAGTGAGAGTCACTAATTGAACAGCATTTGTGTTTAGATATGCAAACCTGTAGATGTGGCTAGCTGTGCTAACAAGTGTCTGACTGTAGTTCCAAGACCATCCACACTTACAGCCCGAACTGTAAATGTCCACAGTGTCTACATGATCCAAGTTTAAATATGTAACATGAACCCTCAAGTACCTAGGTCCTAATAGGAATATGGGCCATATTTAGTACTGTATTGGTTGGGTAGAAATGGTGCTGAACACCAGTCAAAGTTGGGATCTTCTGGGCATGACATTTTACATTTGGCTGTTTACTTCCTCGTAGTGTGAGGAAGTAAACAGCTGCATGTAAGCAGACACTATAAAGATACAGAGGAGTGGTGTGGATGATCTTAAAATGTCTTTGTTTAGCAAAAAACGTGTTCTAGACTTGTTTTCTGTGAATATGTCTGACTGTTATGCGATAACAAGGAATGCTGATTTATTTCCTGTTGTCTGAAGATTAAATAATGACTTATTTGCTTATCAAAGTAAATTAAGCTCACTTGTCATGATTCACCTGTGTAATCTAACTGCTGCTGATCAAATAATCCAGCAATATTTTTATATGGTACAATTTGTTTAGATAGTTGTATTTGATCTACACCTTTTAGACTCCTGCAAGTCCGTCTGGAAAAAGAGGAGTTTGAGGAAGAACTAAAAGAGCTTCAGGAGAAAGTGAGCACCATGAAACAACAGATACCGGACCCCGGCCACACTCAGACTCTCAACCAGGTGCAGTAAAAATACACTCAGCCCTGCATGACCGCTACTGCACAGGTGAAGAACCTGATCTGTTTAACAAAAACAAAAAAATGTAAGAATCAAATTGTTCATATTTCTGTTCAGGAACTTCAGCGATACAATGCTGATCTACAGAAGGCAAAGTCTGAAGTGGAGAAGCACAGGTTGGAGTTTGACAAGAAGGTCATGGAAGTCATCTCCATAAAGAAATCTCACCAGAACCAGGAGGCAGAACTGAAGTATGAGATTGACAGGCTAAAGGATCAGTTGCAGAGGGCCAAAGACGATTTAGCCAGGTCACAGGAGAAAAACAAACGGGTTAGTTACATTTTACAGTGAGGGGATAAAGCACACTGAAGAGATTATCTCAGTGAGATTATAACAATGTAAATGACACAAATTATCTGGTTATAAATTCTCATCTTTTATCTTCATAATGTTTCTTGAATTTTTTCATCAACATCATTCCCTTGTCTTCCTGTCTATAGCTCCCGGACCCAGCCATCATCTCAGAGCTGGAGCAGAAGCTTGATGAGACATGTAGGGAAGCTAGCCAGCTCAAAGAGAAACTGTCATTAGCTGAGGAGGAACTGGAAGCCAGTAAAACACGTCTCAATAAAGCTCAGATAGATGTTAAATCGCTCCAAGACGGCCAGCAGGAGCAGGAGGTGGCAAACGCACGTCTCAAAGAGAAACTCTCACGGTTAGAGGTAGGTCTCATCCTCTGATACACCACACTGTGGCTTAGACCGTCAGTGTGTTAGATATCCTGAAAGCAGTAGACATATTTAAGTATAATTGGACATCCTCTGTGGCCTCCTCAGGCTCAGCTGCAGACCAACGCCACAGAGAGCTCCGAGGCCGAGCTTGCCCTCCACACAGAGGTGAGAGGGCTGAGATCTGAGCTAGATGAGGCCAAGCGAAAGGCTTCCAGACTGAGCCAGGAGCACCGTGAATTAAACCTGCGTCTGGAGGATATGGAGAAAGACAAGGAGACACTCAAACAGACCATCAACCAGCTGGAAGGGATCAAACGACAGCAAGAGAGAGCTCTGGAGAAAATCAACAAAGAGGTACAAAGAAAAATCCTTTTATATACATTTACAAACAAATGAAAGCTTCTGCCGCTTGCACAGCATCAAACTGCTCGGTACAGAAAAAAGAAATTCACCCTTTTTGTTTTTTCCCCCTCTCCCTTTCGCTCTCCTCTGTCAGTATGAGTCTCTGGCCATGTCCTCAAGAGAGGAGGTGCAGGCTCTCAGGATTCAGGTGGAGGAGCAGAGAGAGCGGGCACGCAAGGAAATGCAGGAGGTGCAACGTCACGGCAACGACGCTCAGAGTGAACTGGAAAGAAGTCGTATAAATCTGATGAGACTGGAAGAAGAAGTGCGTGTTTTTGTTTTGAGTGTTTGTGTGCATGCTTCACCGCTTACTCGTTTGTCTGGCATGGTTTTTGTTTTTATTATGAAAATGATGTCTGGTCTGAATGTTTTCAATAGTTTTGACACATAATATTCATAGTGCATGCTTGACTGATTCCAACATGCAAAACCACACAATGATGAACATTCAGTCTGGCATTACTGTTTCTAATATTATGATGACTCTAAATAGGTGTCACGACAGAAGAAGGAGCTTCTGGTTGCCTGTGAGGAGAAAGACAACCACCAGCTTGATAAAGAGCTTCTCACCAACAGACTGCGCCACCTTGAGGGAGAGATAGAGACCAGCAAAAACAGCCTTAATGAGAAAACCCGGGAGATTCGCATCCTGGAGGTAAGATACGTGCATCTCCTCCCCTCGTGGTTTGGGAGTATATACCATGGCTACAGGGCTTTCTGCTGTTAATAGTTCTGCTCTGCATACATTGTTAGTAGAACACTCTGTATATATTTATTTGTAAATCAAACAGATACAAGGTTATTTGTCATTTTTCAACACTGGATTCTTGATTGTGGAATGAAATTTAGGTTGAGGTTCCCTTCATGCTACTCGGGAAAACAGAAAATATATATACAAAAATGATATACAGTGAAATTGATTAAGTCATAAAAACAATAAACTATTTTACATAATGGAGTGCTGAGGAGAAATTAAGCAGTCTCAGAGCCTGAGGGAAGAAGCTGCTCTGTAGGCTGGTGGTACAGCAGTGGAAGCTTCTGTACCTGTTTCCAGGTGGCAGCAGGGTGAACAGGGTGTGGCTGGGGTGGGTTCTGTCTTTTAGACACCTCACTTCACAATATCACTGATGTTAGGCGGTTTTAATCACACGCTGCGGAGTCCTCCTGTCCTGGGCCGTACACATCTAATACCAGTTAGTGATGTTTCCAGTCAGGATGGTTTCTATTGCCACTCTGTAAAGGTTAACAAAACCTTGGCTTGGGAATTTTGCTTGAAGTTTCCTTAAGAAGTACAGTCATTTCTGAGCTTTCTTTAGCAGGGTGGAGATGTGAGATGACCATGACAGGTTCTCTCTTTTCCTGCTCCACCTCCGCTCCACTAATGTAGACAGTTCTGTGTGTCTTTGCCTCCTTTTTCCTAAGATCAACAATCAGCTCCTTGGTCTTGCTTATATTAAGCACTAGGTTGTTTTCTTTACAAACATACTAAAACAGATAAGCATTTAGACTTGTTCAATGTGCATACACTCCGTTATTACAACAGATTTATATAGAGTATACAGAGTATATACATGCGTACGTCTCCAAACTTCATGAAATCTCTCACTGGGGCTAATCCAGTACACACAGTCTCTTTTACGAGCATCTGATAAAGTTGATCTCATTTCTTCTCTGTCAGGACAAGCTGAAGCGTGTGGAGTTGGAGCTGGAGGAGGAGAAAAGCAGTGTGGAGATGTTGACAGACCGAGTGGCCAGGAGCAGAGACCAGATCGATCAGCTGCGCTCTGAGCTCATGCAGGAGAGATCCTCCAAACAGGACCTGGAGCTGGACAAGAACGCCATGGAGAGACATGTACATACACACACTCCACATCTGTGTTTGCTGACATTTGTGATCACCAGTAACTGAAACTACAATCTGCCAAAAAATACACTTATAGTACAGCATTTAGGTGAAAGTGCAAAACATACACACCCTGACCCTCCACTCAAGTGTATTCGGGATATGTCTGAACTGATGGTTGTCTGTGTCTGTCCCTGCAGCTGAAGGAGCTGAGGAGTCGTGTGGCTGACATGGAAGGTCAGTCTCGCTCCTCAGCCGGAGTCTCACAGCTGGAGAATAAGATCCAGGATCTGGAAGAACGCCTACGAAGTGAGGAAAGGTACAGATAGAGAACATGATGCAGTCCAGGATATCTTGATTCTGCACCACATTTTTCACACTTATTTGTTTGATTTAAAATTGAATATCTCAAATGCATCTGTTAATTTAATATAATATTAATTTATGAAAGACAGTTTATTATTCTAAGAGGATATTTTGTTTGGTGTTGTTTGGCTTTTCTTCTTGAATTTTTGTATTTATCAAACCAGATAAAATTCACATTGATTGAGTTATACATACTCACACCTGGGAGTCCAGTATAACCAGACTTTTGACACCCAGCTACAGAGCATCTTCATTAGAGAAGTGAGGTGGCAAATGTCTTGCTCAAGGACATTTTAGTAAAAGCTGACATGGGGAAAGTATTGTGTTTTATGCTCTGTTCTTTTCTTATGTGTAAAGGGAGAAGAACTCCGTTTTGGCATCTCAACGACGTCTGGAGAGGAAACTTAAGGAACTCAACATGACTTTGGATGAGGAGAGACACACGCACACTGAACAGAGAGACCAGGTATAAACATTCACCTCCTACTCCTCAGTATATGAATTTACTCTGAGCTATATCAACAGCAAATTCATATACAGTCAACACTTATCCTGTGTTGCAGCTTGCTCTTAGAGTGAAAGCTCTAAAAAGGCAGGTAGACGAAGGAGAGACTGAGCTGGAAAGGATAGATGGACAGAGGAGAAAGGCTCAGAGAGACATGGAGGAACAGATGGAGCTCAAAGAGGCCTTGCAGACCAGAGTCACAGCACTCGAAACTGAGCTCAAGTAAGCATTTCCTTTTTTTTGTCTTCAATTTTGTTTCTCATCCAATTTGTGTGAGCCTTTGGTAATGATTATGCGAGACACTTCCTGCCAGCCAGATTACCACAGTGTGTGTGAGTGAGTAAGAGAGACACACCATCTCCTCCTTCTCATGTCACAAAATGAATACAATTTCACGTGAATGACCAGTGAATACAGATTCCTTGGCTGTTGCACACACCTGGTAGAGATTGACACACCTCCCTGAGGTGCAGTATTTCACAAAGTGATGCGTGTAAAACAAATCACCCACGTGCGAAAAGGTATTTCATTAAACTAAAACGAGGCATTACTCATGTACCACAGGGGAAATTAAATTCCAGACATGATCCCACCAGTAACAAGGAAGTGCATGGTGTTCCCTTATATTTCCAGCAGAGGGAGCACTATGATCACTTGGCAGCATTTGTGAATGAAGCAATTGATCAGTAAATTACAATGTGTTACAACAGTTAATGATGACAATGATGATTATGTCACAGGAGAAAAACACATGCAGCAATGCGCCCAGTTTTGGATTCATCAGCCCTCAGCTCCGATGATGACGACAGCCTGTTTGACCCCTCCTCCATCACCTCCATCCTCACTGAGAGCAACCTCCAGACCAGCTCCTGTTAAAACAGCACTTCTGGGACAGGGAAAGGGTGGGAAAACATAGCACTGTTTATGAAAAAGATCATGTGTTAGCTGGTTAGCTACTTTGTAGACTGGGAGTAAAGCCAAGAGGCAGAATTGAGGGAGGGGTATAAGGACCTGGGAGGTAATTGACATATTGTGGAGGTTAGTAGGGGAATGATTTTCCACACAAGAGTGAATTGAAGGAAACAGAGCATCCTCTGCATTTCATGGAATTTCCCTCTACAGTGTATACCGACATACTCCGTGGTACATGTGGAAGGACTCCTTCGCATTCATGCAATACACTACACAAGGTACTCCAGCATATATAAACTCACTAAGTCGGTAACTGGATTGCAAGGAGAGAAATTAACCTAGAAGCACAGAAAAAAACATGAATAGGAAATACCTCTTGAATTTTTTGGTACATATTTAGCATGTCAAACTATTCAGGGTTGAAACTCTGGGTCTCACACTTATGGTACAGAGTCTGGCTTTGACTGAATTATCAACTCTACTCTTCATTTCTTGGTGTAGACAGTTTACCTGCTGGACATAAGTTATGTTCTGTGTTGTCAAACACACAGCTATCAACTGACTGAACTCACAAACTCTGCACCCCAGCATTCACAAATAGGTAGGACTACTACAAAACATGACAAACACTGACATTTCAAGTGATTGAAGTGAGCCATAAAACACTGATTCTTATGCTGGTCTGCTTTGCCGAACCAAATCTGATGGTTGTAGTTCTGCAAATGATTCTTATTGAATGAAATCTGGAGTTTGTTTACGTAAAAGAAAATATATTATCTTGTTTTTTTTAAATATGGAATATGTCATTTTGGTGCTTGAGGATCATTTGGAGTAGGAGTTTTATTCCACCGTCCAGTCTGTCACACGGTACACACTAGTTTGAATAATTATTATTATTATTATTATTATTATTATTATTATTATTATTAATTATAAAGTATGACACTAGTAGCACCTGAAATCGATTCTCTTGGACAGGGACCCAATGGTAAATACTATAAATGTGATAGAAACCTCATGTTGGTGTAAAGGTTTAGATTAGTTTAGGCTCACAAAATAACTTTCCTTCGTCAGAATATAACATTCTGTTAAAAAAAAGTGTTTCATCACTTTTAAAGCAAAATAATTGCCAAAATATCTTCCTGTCTGATTTAAACTTTCCATGTTTATTTGTAAAAGCTGCACAACTTCTATGCATTCCCTTATAACAAGTCACTGAAATATATTCTCGTCATTTCATTACGATGCCTTAAAATTGTTAAAAATAATTTTGTAATTGACTTGTAAGTCTTATATGAATGATTTTTGTAAAGTGTTCGTATTTAACATTTGTAGATTCTTTTGATTGATTTTGTATACAGTTTCAACAATCAGTTGGCACTATAATTGTATTGACATTACTGTGATGTAATGTCTCTCAGTATCTTTTCAGTGGAACTGGAAAATGGTACTTAATAATGATCTGTTAGAGTATAGAGATCCTGGTATATACTGTAATTGTGACTGAAAGAAAATGTACACTGACTGTACTTCACAAAATATTTTTTTCTAGTACGTATAAATTTAGCAGCAATAAAGCTATTAAGTTAAATTTGTCTATGTTTATTGTGCTTCAGTGATTATAGAACTACTTTTACTGCATAGTTTTGTTTTTGCACATTTCAGGATATACAATTCCCTCATTGTTTTTGTACATTTGCCTTTTACAGAGGGAGCCTGATATAACTGGCTTACTGCCTTCTGCGCACTAAAGTGTAAGATTACAGTGGACATTGCTCCCACATGTCAGTTGATTTCTTAGGAAGGTGTTGGACGAAGTCAACAGATATTTAACCTAGATTAATCTATGAACAGATATCTGCATATAAATTGTCATCAGACGATAGCCGAAGGGTTCTGAGATTGAACCCATATAGTAGTAAGTTCTACTTCTACTTCATTGCTCATAACGTAATAATGAAAATTATACTAGGTTTGTTTAATTTATTGCCCTGTCCCCAGAAGCCTGGGCCTCTTATAGTGTCATTTTCAGCCACAGCAGGAAGTTTGCTGCAGTTTTAATGTAGTGGAGCATTTAATAGCTAAAGAGACACATATTTCCCAGACCAAAAGCAGCTAAAAGAGGTTACATTTTGGATTTGTATTTATCAGTTGGTCAGAAACACAAATGAATGATAATGTTGCTCGTAACAACTGAATGTGTAAATAAGCCACTTAACAAGTTCACCATATCAACTTTAAACGTGAAGATATGTCTGTGTTGTGTACACAACTTGTTTCAGCTGTCCTAAGAGGCCAAAAAATCCGTTATTGCAAATTTAATACTATATAATTTACCTGGAGCCATGGGGAAAGACACATTCATACTAGCCCCTAGCAGCTCTTCTCTAAATAAAAGAGTAATATGTAGAATATGTAAGTTGTATTAACAATCTGTGTGATAGACAAAAACTACAAACTAACATATCAAACTGAAGGATCTAGAGGCAGAAACACATTCACATTCGATAAATAGTTGTGCTACAAAGTTCCGTGTTTGAGGGAGCATGACTATTTCGGAGGAACAAGACAAGAATTTGGCAGCAGGGCTTTGCTTCTGTGGAACTGAGGTTTGTTGTGTAAGCTCGGGTTATACAGAAGTTATTCATTACCACAGAAGCTTGCTAAGGGCATCGTAGGTATTATCAAGTGTCCAGTACCCAACCTTAATTCACATTGTCTGCGCATGATTACAGTTTTGTCTTTTTCATATTTCAAACACTGGTTGTGAACGGGCAGACTGTTGACATGTTGAGCAGACATTTCAACATGTAATAGCAGGAAAGGCACAGGTGTAACTAATAACCCTTCAGTGTCCTGATATTGTGCATGCTGCATTGCTTACTGGAGCACTAAATGGAATATAAAATGAATTGTATTATCCTGTGTTTAGGTGTTCCAGTTGCTGTTCATCCCCTTGTTTTTTTTGTGACAATTTAACATCCAAACTGCACAAGCCTTCTGTTCACACGGCTTTGAAATTACTGTACAGTAGGTCATGCGGCAGTGCGAGTCTATCCATCTTGTAGCTCTACAGGCCCTAAAGAAAACGAAGGCTCTTCCAGCAGCACCTGTGTCACAAGCATGCTGCATTACCCCCCAAAGATGCAACATTGTACGTGACCTTTACTGTTGTGTTTGCATCAGCTGGTTCGGCAGAGAAGCGGCTGAATGTGTTGACATGCCATTCACTGAGCATGCAGTGGCCACGGCTGAGTGCTAATGTTGTTGTTTTGCCCTCTTAGCTCTTTGCTGCAGGATTGTTTTCTGTCATAACATAAGCATCATGCAGAGCAGAAATCAGCTCGGCTGAAGAGGACTGAATTATTGTGTATAGAGACATTCGCAACAACCTGGATAAACAGTTCAAGCTTCTACTTTAGACTTCAGTTTTCCAGCTGTCAGCTAACTAAACTCACAAATTTTCTACACAACAAAACCTGTATGTCACCATGCACAAAACCTAGTGAACAAATCCAAACAAAATCTGACATTTAGTGTGTTGATAACAGCACCAAGTGAAAAAGAAACTAAGAGATGACCCAGCTTTTCTGAAGGTTAATTTGCTCTACCATCTTTAATGAGTTACAGAATTGAATCTGGACATTGGATACTGTGATAACCACCATGCAAGGTAGAAAGCAACTAAGCTGATGTTTTGATAAAGGTCTGCCTTCTTATTTGTGGACACATTCACAGATTTATACAATTACTATGTCCACTATTTGGGCCTCCCTATATCATAAACACAGAAATATTATTTGCCTCCTTCTTCACCTTGAGAGAGGCGGGGAAATACCAAACTGCCCACCTGCCACACCCTCGATAGATTTAAGACAAATGAATCATGTCTTTTTGTTGAAATCTTAAATTGAGTAATCAGGATTATGTCTGTGAGTTGCAGGCTGGTAAAAGAGACCTGTCTTTTGTAGTTGGTACTGTGGGTAGTGATGGATGGTTTGCTGCTGCCAGCAGCACCACAGGGCGAGGCATGACAGGAATGTGCAGGGTCAACTGAACTTCTACAGAACAACAAGACGTTTCTAAAAATAAAATCTGACATCAGAAGATCACTGACAACCCCAACTCATCTCTATATCTCAGGAAAAGCTCTTTATAGTAATGGAAACAAATACATGCCTTTATGCTGCAGGACAAAACATTTTTATGACTTAAGGCGTTTGTTCTTCCTATGACAAAGAGATGCAAGTCAGCTCCCTGGAGGGAGACTTCACCAACTCCTCTGGTTATTTATGTGTTTACATCCTATTTGGCACATTGGCACTCGTAACAAGAGTGTGTTTGAGTATTTTGAGACTCCACAGTGGTGACTGTGTCTCAGAAGTGTACAGACTTACTGTGCCTCCTGTGGTGCTATTGTGTGATTGATCTACAAAAGACCTGAAAAAAGCCCTGTTCCCCTACTTGTTACTGGGAATTGAACTTACTCGGAACATATTTGTTGGCATGGAGTCACGCCTTTAATGTTTGCTTTAGAACCAGATGCAGTGTCCATGATACTACGCCTCCAACCCAATGCAACCAAACATGTACAGTGCCAACATGTTGTGTGCGGTACCTGTTTTTCTAGACTATAAAATATGAGTGAGCATACTTTCCATGGGTGGGATTGGGTTTCCATATAGATCCAGCTTCCCAAGCACAACTTTTAACCTGGGGCTGATTTGCCAACAGCTGGGTGTGCTGTGTTTTGAAATCTGTGTGTGTTTGCTATTGCATATGGTTCTCCAGAAAGAACACAGCCTTACCGTAAAAAATATTTCCATTCGCCTCCAGATATTCCACATGTGGAAATACAAGTCTATTAGACTTAGATACAGTAGCTCAGATACAATGATAAATTAGTTGTAATTGTTTTGTATTGATAATGGATACACAGATTAAAACATAAGGAGTGGGAGAAAGTCATTATTTTAATACGTCAGTGCTATAAATAACTATCTTTGTGTTCAATATAACAGGAAAGTCAGGGCCGTGGCCAGGATCTTAGAAATACTAAGGTCATGACAACACAAAGAAAGTGTCTAAAACGTTTCAATATTTGGATCTCGCTAGGTGTTAAGTCATATTTTGTGCAATTTTTACTTAAATGAAGCAGTTCTTACACAGACATACCTCAGGAAATCAACGACTGATGATAACCTAAACTAAAATACATCCATACAATTAGTACCAAATTACAAAGTTCATACCAGGAAATTATAAGTTAATTATGGACCTGCTAAATTAAGTGTAACTCTTTTAATTCTAAAGTCTACAAACACTAAAAATGTTTTGTTTTTTAAATGTAGAATGTAAACACCCATGTTCAGGTTGATGAAACTCACAAATTTCACATAAAGATCTGAGAGGACGTGACCACAGTGTATTCAATGGTAGGAAGGGCTCTGATAATAATAAAGGAGTGAAAGGATGACCTTACCATGAGGTTTACTTTTCAAAAATAGAGTATATGACTACATTTATAGTGTCATCATTGTTTTTGAGAAAGCAACATCACTGTATCACCACACACTGACTCTGTGTCACCCGAGTGCACTTTTAACCTGTGACCATTTATTCCCACACAACCAAAATATGAGCTTTTTCTCTTTTCCAGTTTATTGGTCAGTTTTCTGCCCTGTTGTTCAGGTCACCTGGACTTTGAACCTTTTAATGATCCCACTCAGACAAAAAACAATGGAAACCTTATTGTTATTTCATAGACACATTTAATTATGATTAAACAGTTGTCAGTTTCCATTTACAGTAAAAGTAAAAGTCATCTACATAATTTGTTTTCTCCATCGAAGTTAAATTATTACATATATAAGGTGAAAACTTTAGATCTCCTCAATGAGGTGGTATTAATTAATTGTCTGGTGGATCATCTTGTTGTAGTAATCTACAAACCACTGCTGACTTGTATTTAAACTTTAGTGTAAGAAAAATGAGAATTTTCCTATATACTTCAATGTGGGCACACCTTTTGGATTCTTCTGCTCCTGTAAACTGTAGTGCAACCTGGGAATTGTTGAGGCCTGTTAACACACTTCAACTGAGTCCTATACTATCTTAACAATAAGATCGTATATCTCTGAGTGTGTTCTTAAGACCATCAAAGTCCCATCGGAGGTGACGGAGTGTGAACAGATGTGAATAGCAGGATTTTGACTCATATCGTAGCCTCAGACGTGGATGTATGTAAACACCTCTCATAGCTGTCTGCTGTCTGATCTGTGGATCAGTCTGTCTGCGTGTGGTCAACTGTGTGATGTTAACACATAGTTATGGCTCATATTATGGCTCAATACCGGGGACACATAATGGCATACTGTAGTAAGGTGTTTGTACATGTGTTCATGTGGGACATCCTCATTCCACATGATAAATCAGCCATTAAAAAACAACATCCACTCTGACACGATCTCACTACATTCTTGGTTAGTAATCTATTGCAGGGAACATTTACTGATTAAATACCCCCTGCACTTTTGAGAAATTCATTGTTTGTTTCTGATGAATGTGAGATAGCAACATTTTTCCTTCACTGGCACATCGTTGCTGCGAGTGTGTGTGTGTCGTTTCAGCTCCTGATTCAAATTCACTTGGCGTCATCCCCTGTATGCCACCTCGAGCTGTTGTTTGCTCCTCAACAGCCATTAATGCCATTAAAGTCTTTATCCAATTTGAGGTCTGTGCCGATCTGGCTCAGCTGCTGCTGAATGCAGGCAGAGAAACTCTAGTCCTGTTACTTGTGTTTTATCATCTTGTTCCTGTTGTTTAACGTCAGTTCACTCTGGAAGCATGTTGTTTATCATGTGTAGGCTAAATATTAATGTTGCATAAACACTTTAAATAAATAGACAAAACAGCCTCACTGCTGCATATATCAGATAGATAGAGACATTTAAAGGGTTGTTTTTAGTGTTTCCTTATTCATTGTTAATAATGAATAAGGAAAAACAAAGTTATGTTTCTGCGCTGTGTAAATAAAATTGAATGGCCTCACATTGAGCAAGTCTGCATTTATTTTTGTATTGTTAAACTTGCATTGTCCTTTTTGTGGTTACAGACTGAACAAAAAAAGTACTGTGCTGTATTAACCACACAACAATATGGCAACTTTGACAAAACAAAGAGCATCAATATGTCCACTGTGGTAGAGGGACTTATCACCTTGATACCCTGCTTTCCATAGCTTTGTAAGCTAATAGGAGACACTTCTTAAAGAGGTTCAGCCAGGGGTTAAACCTTCTGAATGAATCATTCATTGGTCAACTGAGCAGTGTACTGTAGCAGCAGATGACAATCCAGCTTCAGTGTTTACTCCCTGAGCATTTTGCAATCCTAATAAATGAAGTCTAATAAAAACCTTCATCATGTGATGATCATGATGTAAAGTTTCTGGAGGTTATTGTTCCACTGGTTGCTGTACAGCACATACCTCTGACCCTCCCCGCACAGCTATTCCCTGTTTCCCCAGTTCCCTATTTGGCTGTTTCGGTCGGTTTGTGGGCGGGTCGGCGGTGTCCTGCCCACTCCCACAGTGACGTGATGAGAAAACTCCTTACAATGTGCTAAGAGGAGAAGGAGGAGGAGGGAACAGACACATGAATACACAGGTCTGTGCGCCGGCCTGAAGACTGATAAGAGCAGCAGCTACTGTGGAGAGACACCGGGAAGTTCTTCTAACGGAGGGAGCTCTATAATCTGCGTTATTTATTTATTTATTTATTTATTTGTTTGAGTATTTATTATATTTGTGGCAAAGATGAACGGAGTGACGAGGAGTCTGTGCACGTTTGAGGACATCAGAAATCAAGAACACGGGGTGAGTTACTCGATGTTATTCGCATATGTGGCACTTATTTCTTACTTTTGTCTGTTCGAGGATAAGTTCCTGTGTGTTTATGTATTGTACGGATGCAATGTGGTAAAATAAGAAAACCAAAGGGAAATAAATTCTTCTCCCTCTGCTTTTTTTGGATCTGTTTCTGTCTGATCTTTCAAACTCATATTTTCAGTTTCTTTCCCCCCCTTTTTTTTTTGAATTAAAGGGCCCCTGTGTGATATTCTGATTCTGTCACAGATCTTCAGGCTTCATCTGTTCTAAGCGGTGTATTAACTATTAAGTCCCTGGCCTTGTAGTAATTAAAGTATTAGCCCCTACCCCCCTACCCCCCTCTCTCAACTCCCAACACATACACACAAAGGCAGCAGCTCAGAATTAGTTCAACTAACATCTGTGCCTGTCACAGGTGCCTCCTGCCCACATCATTTAAGGGCTTACACTTGTAGTTGTGACAGACAGTGAAGGCGGCTCAGGAAACAAACCCGGTATAAGCTTCAGTATGTGCACCACCTGTGCATGTGAAGTTTTGTTAAACAGGATTAAACATCACACTTGTTGATTTGCTGCGCGTACTGTGCTGTATAAATGAGTGATCAGCAGCTCGTGTCACGTACAGTAGGACATACAGTAGGTTTTATCTTCTGTCTGTCTGTGGCAGCGGAGGTTTAATCATTAACCTTGGCTGAAAAAGCAAACTGTTCACCTGCACTGAGGTTTATAAGGTTGCGGAGCAACATGACACTTTCCCCTTATCAGCAGTCTCCCGCTGAGTTCAATACCTACCAGAGAGACAGATGCACTGAGCTCATATCAGATGATATTCTTTAAAGAAGGTCATTACAGTGAACAGTCTCAACTGTGATCGTGTAAAATAAAATCTAACTAAGTGTGATCAGAGCAGAATTTGAGAGCCATATTTTACATTTATGTCAGTGGTCTAGACTTAAATATCAGTTACTGTTGTGTAACTGTCTAAAAGGTCAGTGTACAAAGGGCAGTCCACTCACACACCTAATAAACTGATTATTGGTGTTGAGGAATGTGTCGTGAAGCAATATATGAAATTCGCTTTCAAAATTTGCTCAGTGTTTGTTTGATCCCTCATACATTACATTTTACATTCGTCTGATAGCACATTTGCATCAGCCTCAAACAGAACACACATTCGTCTTTATCAAAGTCCAATGTAATAGTCAAATAGTCAACCACCTACACTATTTACATATCTGATATGGTTATTCAGGTCAGACTATATAAAGCAGCAGAGTTATTTCACCTCTACACGTAACATTCCATAATGAGCAAGTGTGGGAAGATTGTTAACAAAAAATGACACCCATAATCAGGTCTACAGGGATACGTGAGGAGAAGGAATGTACCTGATGTAGCAGAGGAAGGCCTTCAGTGAGTGTTTTGTTGTTTTGTGTGTTTCCTGGAACTGAGATATGATCGAAAAAAAACAAAACAGATGGAACATCCAGGCCTAGCTTAGAAACAAAATGTTTATAATAGTGACCAAATGTCTGACTTCTCTGCTGTTATTTGAACATTATTTGAAATTTGTGGCACAATTTCTCTTCCCTAAAAACCCAGTGTATTGCAAAGATTGTTTTTTTTTTTTTTTTTTCCTGTGTGGGGAACTTTTTAAATAACGCCACAGTTATCCCTGAAGACATTTAGTTTCCATGCGTTATGTGACACATTCCCTCTGTCTTGCCTCATCCTCCGTCACCATCTCAGTCAGGAGTGTCTGACGTTACAGACTGGGAATGAGCCAAACATGACATATAAATGCATCTATGTAGAAGGATGACTGCAATATGGCAGCACATACCTGGTTTGCACACCACACAGAGCAGGAAAAAAAAAGGAGATTATTATTCATAGTAAGATGATTGAGAAATTAGGGGTTTTATTGATGGCAGCTCACGCTTCATGACTAAGATCCAGGATCCCGGACTAGCTAGCACATTCAGACCCTTCACCAACACGTCACCTCACACCTCAGCTAGACTCTTACCTTCAAAGTTTACTTAACCTTTAGCTTAGCTCTTTAGTTTGTACAGACTGCTGACTGATTTAAGGGCCCAGCCTGACAGACAGTTAGCGATAACCTTTACTACCCTGGAAACTATAGCTTGATACTAAATGATTTAATCCCAGGACTTTATTGTCATTATTGATTAATCTCCTCATTATTTTCTTGATTAATCATTTATTTTTTTAAAGTTTTTGAAACATTTATAACAATTTCTTATAGGCCGAAGTGCTTGTTTTGTCCAGCCAACAGTCCAAAAAGGGTATTTCATTAACTATCATATATAACAAGAAAAGGAGAAAATATATTTTAGAGGCTGGAACCTGCAAAAGTTTGTTTAAAATATTAGATTATCAAAATAGTTGCCAATATGTTTTCTCCAATTAATCGACCAATCATTGCAGCTCACTAGTAATAAATCTACGTGCTAAGTTTGGATATTGAACCTCAGTACTAAAGTGGACCAAAATGTGTTTTTACAGTTGAGTGTCAGTAAGTTAAACTTGGCTTGAATCTTGTTTGCTTATTCATTGATCAAATATTTCCTGATCTTGTGTTTTATGTTTCGGTGTACTCTAAAACAACTTTAAACGCGGATGTACCGAGTAGTTTGGCAGGTTATGCTAATAGGAAAGGGAATCTTTTAAAAACATGTGTATGTATCCTAATGTCTTATATAAGTAAGGTACTGAAATGTGACGATACCTGCAGCACTGGCCCCAGTCAGCACACACCTGCTGCCTCAGAGGTTTATATAATGCAGTTGGAAGGGAGACAAAAGTGACATCTGTGCAGCAGGTATGGGAAAGCAGTGCATGAGAGGGATAGAGTGATTTTAATGGATGATGAAGCGCACACACACATAGACACACAAACTCACACTTGAGGCATTCTTTGTGGAATGCAGTTACTTAACCTGGAGGCACACGAGGATGTTTTACTATTAATGGCCACGATACCTGATGAAATCTGAACAATTTTGTATCCTGTGTGGCAGGAAGCTCTAAAGGACATTTTGTTTTTCTGTTTATCAGCAACATTCCCAGGTTAGTAGTCACATCTCAGTTAATTTAACTCAGATGATTTACAGGCCTCCTGATGGCAAAGTCCAAAACAAGGCCTCCTCATTCTCTTTAAGCCTTTCAGCCTAGCCGTACCCCATGATCCTTTGTGCCCATTGTCAGTGCAACCAACAGTGTGGATGCTCTGTGTGTGTGTGCTTAGTTTCAGGTTTCTGCCCTGTTATAAAGGTAGTGTGTACTTTGGGTTACTGTGTGTATCTGTGTGTGTATTTTCCGTGTGAGAGGCTGTTTGCGTGTGCATGCATTCGTCAGTGACATCCAACTGGTCCCTTTGTCTGTGTTCCAGGGAAGTCTAGTATTACAGGTTGTCTTTGAAGGTGGCATAGGCGGCATTTTTCTGTGTGTGTGGATGTAATAGAGAAAGTTGGCAGCGAGACGAGTGCGTAAATAGTCCACGGCAGAGCGAGGATTAGCTGAGTCTTTATTTGGTTGTTCAAGAAGGGCCAGAGAAGTTGTATAATGATGCATTCCTTCTTAACAACCCTCTCACTGTTTCTTTCTCTCTTCCTCGTCTCCTTCCCCCCCTAATCGCTGTGTCTTTAGAGCATTCAGGTGTCTGTAATCTGAGAGGAAAGCATGTTGAACAAGAAGGGGGTTGTTTGGCTTTCGTTTCCCTCAGTTTTGTTTGTCGTATTTGGACCCCCGCCACAGGTTTTACGCTATTTCCCTCCGTCCCTCTACGCTTTTTCCTCCATTACTGTACTTCCTGAACAGAACCAGATAATTATAAAGGCCTTCTGTATCTGTGGAACACATGGCTTTTCTTCTATAACCTCTCAACGCTTCTTATCAAGGCATTATGCAACACGGCCCGGTTCATTTCCCCCGTCTGGCTCATATTAACAGATACAGTAGAAGTGCCTTTATTCACAAATAATTCTACAAATTAGAAAAGAAAATAATGACGAAGAATAATAATAGTGTCCTCAAATGTCAAAAACCTCAAGATGTTCCCTTTCTTATTACATAATACAAATATAAGCTGCAAAAACAATGTCCTTGACGGTCTAAACAGGACATACAGTAGCTGGGCCTTTTGTGCTGCTGGCCTTTTACCAAAAGAAAACAAAGAAATAAAAGGCATACTGTACGAAAAGTTAAATAGGGCCAAAAAAAAGGATACACACCCACTTTTTGCGTAATTGGTTTCGTGTGTGAGTGTTTGTGTTGATAGTATTTAACCACAGGAGAACATTGCAGACATTTTCTTATTTGCCTGTTGTGTGTCTCCAGTTGACAGTTGCGCAGTAAGCATGACAAAAATCAATATTTATATTATTATATTATACAATTTTTATATATTTTCCGTATATACGCCACACATACGTTTACAGGCAAACTCATTAAAATATGCAATCATTAAGATCAATTTATACGATTGGATCAGGGCACTACAAGGTGCCGGAGGCCATCAAATTTAGGCTTTTGTGGCCAAATGTACCCAGAACCCCTAGCTGTCTACTTTTCCCAGCTGGCTGACTACTCCTTTATAGTTGTGGAACACCCAAGACACCAGGAGGACAGGAAAATAAACAGAACAAGATGTGTTGGCTGGAAATAGTTATATAATGTCTTTGACCCCCCCTCCCTCACATCCGCATACTTCCACTCTCTCACACACACACACACACTCACTGGGTACCACTTACTAGGGGGTTCCCTGTACGGGAAGACATACGCCCAGTCACGTCCTGGTCGAGAATTTTCCTGTAAGAGGGACTCTCCTGCGACTGAAAGAAATAACTGGGACGGTTTGTGTGTTTTTGATTTTTAAAGTGGTTGAGCGTTAAATCTGTGCGTCGTTTTGTCTCCTCCCTCTTATAATGTTAACGTGCCAGATAGTTTATGGCTACTGCGAGATTTTGTTGCCATGGAAATGTTCTGTCTTGCTTGACATTACATTTTCTGCCCACTTTGCCAGAAATCCAGCCACTGCTTCCAATTGGCAGCGAGCGTCTGGAGAGTTTCCGCCTTATCCCTCTGACGTCCATAGCACACAATTTAAATGAAACAATCTGTGTCTGTGTAGCTGTGAAAAACTTTTGCTTTCTCTCTGACGCGCGTACCCCGCTCTCTTACTGGTTACTGCCCCCTCTCTCCCTCCTTCTCTGTTTCATTCAGTGAGTATGACTCAGTCTCTCCTCCTGTTTTTCCCCCGCTCTCCTCCCTCAAAATAGTCCTCAATCAGTCTCTCCATCACATAACGGTCTCTTTGTGGATTCACTTCATCGTCTCCTTTCCTTATTGCCATTTTTTTCAGGAGGGGTGCAGGCGACTGAGGCTCACACTGCACAACCAGAGTCAGGCAGCTCAGACCACAGAGCAGCACAGGGACAAGGTAAGAACTTCTTGCACCTCATGATTTAGGTTATAATATGGACTACAACACCAGTGCAGAGAACAGACGTTGGAATCAGAACTGTGGGAGATTAAGGAGAATAGTGATGAAAAGTTAAATGGAATAACATTCATGACTGTTTTAAATGCATGTTTTGGATACTTGAGGGCAAAATATCTGGTTTAGGTTGTTATGCTATTACATTTATTTTGACTTTTCATCTTTAATGGATTCACTGGGTCGAATTTGTTGTAAGGCATGAGGGAGAACAGTCTGCGATTTCTTTTGTTGAGAAAAAAAACAAACGGTAGCACTGCTTCCTTTTAGAGGTAAAGGTGCTCATCATTGAGGCCATACATGGATCTGAAAGTTCAGACAGTTAATCTTCTCAATGATCCTGTGGAATCAGCTCAGAGCTACCGTACATGTATCACGCTACATTCCTACACGCAAACTGCTTGTAAACATGCCATCAGCTTTTTAAATGTGTGGGTTCTCACAGACATCCTCTCAAAATGTCTCAAGACAACCATTGTTCTACCAAAACCAGTGCCAGAGTTACAGAAAAAAAACGGGACCACCAGAGCAGCAGAGTTGCATAACGTCTCCCCACCTTCTTTGGCGTGTCCCTCCTCTCTCTCTCTGCTCATGGTTTTGACCAAGTCTTCAAAAGAAGCACCAGATGTTTATGGGTTAGTCTCCATAGTGATTATGGCTGAATGTTTCTGCCTCCTGATTATAGACACTTGCAGTCAGTCACACGCACACGGGAATAAATTGCTCAGGACAAGACTGAGATAGAAAGTATATTCTTGATGTATTCAGTTTTGCTTGGAAATAGTTTAATTGCATCATTCATGTCAGACGTTCCTGAAGCATGTTTCATAACGACTATTAAGCGGAACTTCTCCTGGCTCTTCTTCCAAATTTTGTGTTGCAATATCTTTCAGAAACAAGCACAGTGACATCACTCATGTTTGCTTAAGCTTTTGATGGTTGGAAATGTATCACACCCATCCACCCATGCTCATTCAATACGATGTGCGCCACATTGTTAACTCCTCCCCTCTCTAATCTCCAGCCGATTGGACGTGCGTTTGCAGTGGTGCAGCCGGCCAGCGACAGGACAGCTCTGAACCCCGAACCGGTGAAATCTACAGAGGAGCAGGTGGAGGTTATTAAGGTGGGTGTGGCACATTAGCTGGTATTTTTAAAGACATAAATGACATGTGAATATGTTTGTTTCATGGTCACGTTGGTGTTAAACGCCCACGTCTCTCTCCCTGTTCCAGGTTTATCTGGAGGCACGCAAACAAGAGCAGCAGAAACACCAGCAGAGCCTGAAGATGTTGTCTGATGAAGTTTCACAGATACAAGAGGTCAGTCTCTGGACAATATCTACCGTGGCTCTCACTGTCTCACTAACGCACAAACACACGCCAACATCTCTGAATTATGTAACTATTTGCATGTTTCCAGAATGTAAATTCCTCTGCGCTCTCAGCCTGCATCTCTTCCAGACTTTTTCTCTCTCTGTTGAGTCATTTAGTAGAGCCTGGTACACACACATGTTGAAACATTATTTTTTTTTAAATATGATAATACCTCAGTAACTCACAATTATGTCTTTATTCCACACAGGTAAGGTATTGCCTGAAGACACTGAGGGAGCAGATGGCAGCAAAAAACAAGGTAGGTCTATTTTGAGCTGCTATTTTGTGCCTTCACCATTGTTAACCTAACATCCTGTGTTCTTAATGGCCTTTCCTCCACCTTTTCTCATCTCCATCTTTCACACTTTCCTTGCTGACATCCTCCTTTTCTCTTTTCAGCCGCACACAAACGGGTGGAAAGTTAGCATTCCCTTCAAAAGGAGCACCTCGTCTGCACCCAAGGGGGGAGCTAAATCTGACGGACAGGTGAGCACTTTCTCACGTTGTCTGTGTATACAGTATATGTGAGTCTTTTCAGTATGCTGAAGTAATGCACATATCGAATCTCGCGTGCATATCATAGCCGCAGTCAACTGTCTGTGTTGTCTTTTAGACAATGTGTGCCAGTGCGTGATGCCTGTAAAGCGATCATCTCCCAGAGGCACATAGGTAGAAGGAAGTTAAATAGAGATGTGATATAGAAGAAAAATAAAGGATTAAATGACAGCGAAAGAATAAGAAATGCTTATAGCACCCAGGGGTGTATGAAAATGTGTGAGAGAGCCGTTCCAGCACACACTGTTCCTCTCCCTGCATCTGTTATTGTGTTCAGGCCCTCCTCATTGTTCCCAGCATTCCACAGACACCTCTCCTTTAATAGTTTTGTTGCTGTCTTTAAGTCACACTCTTCTAGCAACCACTACTATCTGTCAGTAATGTTTTGTACGAATACAACAGAGCTGACGCCACTATGTTTGGTTGAATGGTTTTTGCACCAATTATAGCATTAATCTGTGAGTCATGCTCACTAACAGAATACTAACAGAAGTGTTGCTTCAGTGACGTACGCAGACACGCCTGTTTTCTTTTTGACTGCCAAACCTACTGAGCCTGAGCGAAAAGAAAACAAGATTTTACATTATATCATCATAAAAGTATCTGTCTATATCTATCTTTTGTTTTTATTACAAATCAATCAAAGCAGATTTAATGGGACTTTTTGGTGCCGATTAACAGAAAAAACCCTTTAATGTCCAAATGAAAACAGAAAGTGATATAAATTGATTACAAATATAAAATACTTGTTTGCGTAAGTATTCATGGCCCAAGTGAACATTTAACAGATGCGCCTTTGGCAGCAATTACAGCCTTGCACATCTGGACACTGCAATTTGTCTGCCTTTTTTAACAATAATCACATTCTCCATTGGACTGTAGGATCTGAACTCTGCCACTCCAAGGGATTACAGTATCTATTTGCTAATCTAACACTTCCTTCTATTCTCTATTAGGAAGCAGATGAAGAAGCAGAGAGAACCAAGCTGAGGGAGGTCAGCAAGCGCCTATATGCACAGCTCCAGGAAGCAGAAAAGAAACACCAAGAGGAGAAAGAAAGGCTGCAGGTAACAAAAATCCACAGAGCTTATTTTTACACTCAGCATGACAAATAATGCGTGTCAGCTGCACTGAAGACACATTTTAAACAAACTGAAGTCATAAAGCGTTCCCTCTTTTTCTCCCCTGTCTCTTCCAGGCTGAGGGCAGCAGGCTGAGGGAACACCTGAGCGACCAGGAGGAGAAGTTGAAGACCACAGAGGAAGCCAGCGAGAGAAAAGACATGCGCATTGAAGAGCTCCAGAGGCTGCTGGGGGGGATGGAGCAGGAGAGCGCCAGCCTGCGGGAAACAATCCGCAGTCGCGAGGAGGAACTCCGCGAACTGCGCAAGATCAGAGAGGAGGGCCAGAAGGGGGAACAGAGGTCAGCTAACACACATATACACAAACAGAATGAATTATTCTTGATCAATCCATGACAATCAAATCATGAGTAGTGTGTTCTAACTCTCTGTGTGGACTTTTAGGGCTGAGCAGTTGGAGAAGGAGGTGGCTATTCTCAAAGAAAAGATCCACCATCTGGATGACATGCTGAAAAGCCAGCAAAGGAAAGTCAGACACATGATTGAACAGGTGAGGCGCACATGTGTGAGACTCTGTAAAGCAAACACATTGTCTCAGTGTTCATATTTGCACAGCATTCACTCACTGTTTGACTGTGTGTTTGATCATCTGTAGCTCCAGAACTCTCGCATGGTGATCCAGGAGAGGGACCGCGTGATCAAAGAGCTGGAAGAGAAAGTGGCTTTCTTGGAGGCCGAGGTGAGTACTGCTTATTGTCTTCTCCTATAAAAAAGATTTTATGGCATTTCAGTGGAATTTAGAAAGAGGGGGCAGCGTTAAATGGACGTGAGGGGGAGGAGAAAGGAAACTCAGCCTGAATTATGCAGAGAGACAGTGAGGAGATGTGAAAGGGAAGGAGGAGATTACTACTGTCTGCTTCGTGGCCACATTAATTGGTATTATGTGACGTGACCCCTGACCTCATGTGTGTGCAGAACCGAGAGATGCACGACCAGATGGACTACTTCCTGGGAGGACAAAGGTCTAATTCCTATCTTTCATCGGAGCGCAACCCCCAGATTGTTTACAGGTAACTTATTTAGCCTTTTTTTATATTTTTTTCACCTTCAAACCTTACAAATTGCAGACATATGTGCAAGTCCTACAGAGTTTAGTGACATTAAAAGTCCAAATTAAAAATCTCAGCTTGCAAACAAGCACTCAAATATTCACCTATTCTAGTTGTACATCTGCATAAGATGCATATTTGTTTTTATGCTGTTTCAATATAAAAATAACCAATTTCTCTTCCTCTTGTCCCCTCAGTAAACCAATCAAGCCATCCAAGTCATCTAACAAACCACTCCCTTTCATCAAAGTCATCGAGATCAGATCATGAAGCGACGGTGCAAAAGAAAGATAAAGTAATTGTGGAGAAAGGGTCAGAACCACCAAACCAAACAGCACCACATCTGATCACATGAATATTCGGGATGTCAGAGCTGGGCTTCCTGGACTGCAACTACATCAACACTTCCACTAATGCTTTTAAACACTCTTGAAGGAAACTGTGTGGTGTTTCACACACACACTGAGGCTTGCCGTGTGTGATGATGAATGAGTGTGTATGTCAGCTTTAATGTAGATACATTAAGTGTACTTATTCAGCTGATGTGAATTTGAAGTTTTACATGTAATACTGCATACTGTATCCAAGTGTTTCCTAGTCCTGGCCTGTTTTGATCGCTTTTTTAACCTTTGAGTTTATGGCTTTGGCATCATTGTATCAAAACAGAACTGTTGAGCAAAGTGCAAGGATGGCAGACCTTTTGTCAAAATGGGTTATGACATTATGAAGTCCATATACAGTAATGTAGCAAACATAGCTAACTAAGCTAAACGTTTTATGTACAAATCATAAACCAGATGATCTACATCCTGCTTCCTTGTTCTCATTAGTCACTCATCCATGACTCCGTTCACTTTGCTGAGTGAATGGTATGATGCATTAAACGTGTAAATATTGACTGTAGCCTATCGATACCATGTGAAGAAAAGAGTTTTTAAGTAAAAATGTAGTTTTAAAACCCCAAATAACAAACTGTGAGGGCGCAGAAGGAAGCGTCATTATTCTGCATATTTGTTGTAAAGCATTTCAGTTCCCTGTAATTGTGTAAACAGTCACAGTCTTGTTTTGTACATAATAATAATGAATGTGATTTGATGTTTTAATTTCTAACAACTTTCTCCTTTGTATTTATTTATATTAAATAAAACCTGTAGACAGATAGTGTTTTTTTATGAAGTACATTCTGATCTATTATCTGTTTGTGGCTTTCAGAATAAATTACTGAAAATAAATACAATGCTTCTTTTCTTACTGGAATCAGCAGTAGCATATGTTGAAGAGAGCGCCCTCTGCTGGACACAACTCACACTAGCAATTGCTGCACTGTTCTGGCCCCATCAAAGAAGAACACAACAAATATTTAGACCGTCACTGTTTTATTTGGATGGCAACTTGTACAATAAGCACCACAGAAAAAAAATTATTCAGGCAAAAAAAATGCCTCCCTGGGAATCCTGAATACCAAATGAAACACAGTTTGCACATCTGAGGGCCAAAAAAAGACTTCCCCTGATGCAATACCTCAAATTCAGAATGCATTAATGCACTGAAATACTGTTAAATTACATTGCACTGAAAGAATTGATTAAATCAAAAAAGCAAAATCAAAAATTCATTAAATCAAGTATGGCTTCTGTAAAACGAAGATTTAAGGCTAAAAAAACAAACACACAAACGTAAACATTAGTGACATAAACAGTGTGTTTCAGTGTGAGGCAACCATTAATACTGGTTAACTATTAGCATGTTTAAATACAGTATTTGTAACAAGTCTGCATAGGCCTTTACATTGTGCAATAAATACTGATTGTCTTATGCCATTGCATAGCCCCTTAGCTCCGGTTTTGTTTTGGTCAAATCAACCCTACTTACTATCACTTATTATAGCCATTTTTCGACCCAACCATAGCACTCATACATGCATTAATACAGGATATATGCATAAGCTACACTTAGGTAAAAAGCACTGTGCCAGTAGTCTGATATGCAATTCACTGTAAACCAGCCGATACATGTTAGTATATGAGGGCAGTGTTTTTATAACTTCACTCTAAACTGTCCATAGGCACTTTAATCACTGGCAGCACTACCTTGTCCTTGACCTTTCTTTTAGGACGGGTGTCACCGATTTTTCAGAACGAACTGTCCAGAGTGTTGTAGTTGTCTTTGAAGTTCTTCAGCTCCAGGAAGTGTCTGGGCCGCTTGCTGCGCTGCTGCATTGAAGACGTGAGGTAGGTGGTTTGGGTGGGGGAGGATGAGGAGCTTGCTGGCTCTGTGGTGCTGGTCAGGTCTTTGGCTGCAGACTGGTGGTACTGGCTCGGAGAGCTGCCGCTGCTGCTTTGGGCCTTGACGCTACAAAACAACGAAGGGAGAAACAGATTGTTCCCAATGCGTAATTAAAATTCCGTGACGGGATTAGCATAAAAGCTAAGCTGTAAGGGAACACTGTGAGGAAAGGCTGTGTTTACTCACACAGAGGCCAGTTCAGTTAGAGCTTCCTGGTATTTCAAAAATTCTGCTTCACCAAAAGCCTACAGACAAAAACAAGAGCCAAAGACAAGACATCAGTAGAGGCATACTTTACGTACTTCAGATTGTAATCTTCACACACTGCTGTATATTTCTCCTGTAAATGGGAGGAAGTACATCTTTGTCAGTTTTTCATGCAATCGCAATATACGGAACACAACAGGATGGGCTGTACGGTTAAAGCAATAATCATGCTGATGCTAGCCTAAAGAAACTATATGAATAAATGACAATTTTCTTGTCATTAATTTAGACAAGGGACGGCGTAGCTCAATATCACAGTACTGTCGTGATGTGTTCTCTGGCACACAAACCCACACAGAGCACAGAGAAACTGACCTCTGCCCCGTGCCGTGCCTTATTGTACCCGTCCAGCACTGTGTCAATGAGGGAGCTTAGGCTGTCTCGGAACATGCAGTGGGAATTTCGTAGCTGTAGAAGCCAGGTCCGAAGTCTTTTACCCGTCACAGCGGTGGACGTCCCACCCAGTTCACGGAAAGGGAGATCTATTGACGAAAGTAGAGGTGGTATTGTAAGAGTGGGGAGCGATTCATAGTCTGTCATGACAACAAAACCAAAATAAGATCAGTGACAGCAAACAAAAGCTTACCGGTGTCTCTAATGGCATCCAGTGCTCTCATCCTGTACAGGTAGTCATAAGAACCTGCAAAACACACACACACACACACACACACACACACACACATTCTTCTTCTTCACTGGAATGGAATAATAACTACTTATGTGGTTTCAGGATTGGTGTGTGTGTGTGTGTGTGTGTGTGTGTGTGTGTGTGTGTGCTCCTCTAACCAGACTGCTTCAGCCGGTCATCATCTGGAGACAGCAGACGTGGTTCAAAGTGGATTTTCTGAACCATGCACAGTTTGGCTTCAATTTCTTGTCTCAGCTTCACTAACAGCACACACACACACACAACACACGAGAGAAAAAAGAAACACCGGGCTGTATATCCCAGTTAATCACAAAACTCCTGTACAGGGATTCAACACTTGTTGTTTCTTAATGTGTGTGTGTGTTGTGGTGTGTGTGTGTGATGTTGTGATGTGTGTGGTGTTGTGTGTGTGTGTGTGTTACCTTAGGAGCATTGTGACCAAGGGGAACATGTGGTCCTCTCCGAGACTTCATGGCAAATCGCATAATTTGTCTTTTGACAAAGATGAACAGCAAAACAAACACCTAGACAACAACAAGGGTTAGCCTCCACCAGTTTAAAGATGTTTTTTAGAGCTTGCATAGTTAACAGGATGCCAGTGGATGGTAAAGAACCAAATAATAAAACTAAATACACAATAAAGGAGCAAATATGTATTAGGATAGAGGATAAAAAATCCTATTCAACTTACTACAAACAATTGTATGTTAAATGTCTTTTGTATTATTTAGTTGTTGGGTTTCCGTTTCTAAAATCTTAAAACAGGGCTCACCTGTCACCACCATACAGGTTTTAATTTCTACATCAATTCATTCTAGGGACACGAGAAACAAGTGAAAAATGCTTTCAGCAGTTAATCTTCCAAATTTAATCTTTTAAACTTCTTCACATAAAAGTTTGTGAGCTAGTATATAACATGGAAAAAGTGCAAATTACAGAGAAGTTCATCCTTTTACATTTGATCAACTGAATCCTCCAAAGATTTTTAAATCATCTATTAGTTAACAGCAATAATAATAATCACTCCAACACTTAGAAAATAAAATGAAATGAGGTAAATGTATAAGAGTGGCGGTGAAGCGCTCAGCAGCTGTGTTGTGATGATGACCACCTGGGTTAAGTTGTTTAAATAAGAGGAGGTGTTTCTATATGAGGGGTGTGTGTTGTAATGACTGAGCATTTATGGTGTTCTGCGTTATGTAAGTAAGTACAGCATTTTGTGTTTAATGGTAAGAATTTAGCCAAATTGGCGCGTTAAAACAATAAGTTTTGCAAATTGACACATAGCGAAAAATGAACCCAAAGCAGTTAAAAAAATACTGTGTTTCTGTTTATTTCACATCTTGACATTTACAAATGAGTGTGTACATACATGTCACACAGTCACAAAGTGAACCGGACTCACCAGACTTCCATAGGCCATAACAAGCACCACATTGATGCTTGAGAGAAGAGAGTCACTCCGCATTGTAAATCTGAGCGTTTTCACCAAACTCACTAACAAAAACTGCTAAATGACGATTCAACGTACGTCCGACAGTTGACCTTTGAAAGGCACACAGTTTCATTTAAGAGGTCGTTTTAAAAACAAAACAAAACACGAAGCTAGCGTTAAACGGAAGACATAAAACAACAGGGAACTAGAATAAAGTGAAGTGCTTTTGGTTGCTTCATTTCGCTGCCTGGTTTGTTGACTTCCGCGGTAGTCATGTGACCAGTAAAGCCCGGGGTGACGTCAGGTCTGACGTTACTCTGTCCTTTTCTGCCATCTGCTGTTGAAAATGTCTTCACAACGACCCCCCCAACAAACAAACAAACAAACAAATCAACAAACAACAATGAGGAAACGCTGCACTGACAGAAAACAATAGAGGCCAGTGAATACTGTCATTTGTTTGTTTGTTTGTTTAAGGAGGGACAATGCACATTAATTAACATGAGCAACTAAGTCCATCGTGTACCATGTGCCAGATTCAGGTTCATTTTCATCTGCCCCTGATGGTATATAAAAACATACAAAAGCACATAAGCACAGACTAATAGTAGCTACAACAGTGACATAACCATATGAGCCCAGACAAAATCACACATAAGCACAGATAGTAAACTCCAGATTATGACAGCATATTTGATTGTCCAGTAACCACTGTTTTATAAGGCTGACTACCTACTTTTAGACTATTAAATTGCTAAATTCTCCAATTTTCCAATTCTTGCTGTTTATTTTTGTGTTGCTTGACACTGAATTGCCTGTAGACTATTTATATCCACCGTGGCCTACTGATTAAATACTGTAATCTGCCCTTTCTCACAACTCTTCTGCTGTATCCTACACCCTAAAGAATGAATTTAAAGAACCAGCATGTCTGTGTGAGCAAGAGAGTGATTTGCATCCATCGTGCAGAGACACTGTGTGCCATTCTTCTGTCAGGAACAAGGGTGGGTGTTTGTGGAGTTGCACTGGAACTATTTACCCCTACTCACAGACTTATCTCTGTCCTGAGAAGACCATGCGACCTACCAGCCCAGTCTGTACGGCTAATCATTGATTGGATCATCAGGATCCTAAGATCTTGGCCTGTTTCTGACTCAGGCTCTTCTGACTTCTGACAGTCACTGAGAGACATAAGGACATCCCCTGTTGCTTTGCAACACGATGATTTGGTAACCACAATTTCCTCTGTCTCAACAGTTGCAGGTGCACACAAAAAGAAGCAGTAAGAATATGAGGCTCTACTTGTCTTCCAAAACTGTAAGTACTGCTGGGTTTATTTTATTTTATATATCTCGGTCTGCTTGCTGGTCCTCATACATCTATGATTCAAAGGCTGTTTGTTCACCTTCCCACTCTGCAGAATCCAGTTTCCACAAACAATACTTCTTCTTTTGTGTGGATAAAACTTCTCAGCAATCTCAGATACTTTTCTCCTTCAGTCGACATTACAGTCCCACAGATTCTCAAAATGTGTGTCTGCAATGGAGCTCTGTTTTGTTGAACATATGTCATACAAGAGGTGTACTTTTAACAATATTTATCCCTGCTGGTATTAATAGGTCTACATGAGCTCTTTGTGGTCTCTGGTCCCAATTAAAGGTGCTCTGTTATTATGTATTTTGATACCTGCTCAGCCTGGATGATTAGATTCAGGATTGCCTGAGGTGGAGTGATACTATAAGCCTGTGTTGATAAAATGTCATTCTTTCACACCATTACCTGAATTGTATTTCTTCTCCCTTGAGCTATGAAATGCTGGTGTGTGCACTCCTTGTTGAGCCCTTTAGTGGGTGACACATTGAACTGTAGTCAGGAATGCTACCCTGTGAGAAGAGGAAAAGAGGGAGAAAACAACAATGGGAGGGGGAGGAGAGAAAAAGAGAGACTGACACAGAGAGAGAGAGAGAGAGAGATAAAGAGAGAGGAGTAGAGGACAAACCAGTGTGGCAGGTTTGTGTACGTACTGTACGCAGTCCATCATGCAAAGCTGATGGTAAGAGAGGAAGACAGAGTGAGAGAGAGAGAGAGCGAGAAGGAGAGAGAGAGAGAGAGGAGTTAGGAGCTGATGTCATTGCAGAGCGCTGCCTTCATTATAAACCAGTGTCAACACAGCGGTCTAGTACAGAAGTCACACTTAGAAAAGGTAAGGTGCATTATATAAGTGAATAACCTAAATAATAAGCTAGTTTGTAATTATGTGAGCGAGTAAATGTGTGTATTTGTTTGTCTTTCTTGCTGCTCAATCGTAGTTTAAAGTAAACTGTGCAGTGTTGCCCCGGTTACCCAGATGGGAGGCTTTGTGACCTAGCAGAACAGGTGTTTCTGTAAACCGACACTCAGACTCACCTGCAGTGGAGAGTTTCCCAGAGCTGGACTTCATAAAATGCTTCATATAATTATACAGGCAGTGCTTATCTTATTCCCTTATCCTGTTTTCATTACGTGGAGTAAATCAAGAGCTTACTGTGTTTGTATTTGTATTTAATGTCAATTGAGATGATTGGATCCTAATGACTTGATTAATGATCGATGATTGGTTTCACTGCCTTACAAACAATGCCTGTTGTGTGTAGCTGTGAACTCAGATATCCCTGATGAGCCATTGTCCATCAGTCATGCTATCTTTCTCTCAGCAGGCTTTATTTAAATCAAAGTGACTTTGTCCTCATCTGTCCGTCTTATCTGATCATTTCACCAGAAATTCACTGTTACAAGGTGTCAGTCAGTTATTGTCTTTCTTTGACACAATGAGACCGATACGTGCCGCACAGAGACTGATTGTGACTCTTTAATACATTGTTTTTGCAGAGTGGATTGCTGTTAGGTGAGTTTTTCCAGTTTTTGGTTCAGGTTTAGCTGACGCTGACAGGTAGTCATGAGTATGTTGCTTGTGTAAACAGCCATTATGATATGTGTGAACAACAGAGTACACTATCTAGAATCTCACTGTTCTGTGAATGGGCTCATTGAGTCAATGTGAGGAGGGCTGGGACGTTTTTCAAAATAACATAACTGACATAACTTTGAAGTGTACTGTAGTGTTGCTGGTTCTCTGGCTCTCACGATCTGTCTTTCAGACTATTGTTTTCCTCTTATCGTTTTCATATCTTCTCCATTCACTGTCCACTTTATGCTTCTCTCTAACAAACTGTTTTCACTGTCCTCAACCACTCTATGGTTCTGTTTGACCATTTCGAGGAGCCAGAGAGACCACAATCCACATATCACAACATTCCAGCCGGGTCCGTTTTAAGGATGGAAGTTTTTTTTTTTTTATTCTTGGCAGGCAATGGGAGCTGTTCGCTGAAGCTGTGCTGTGGAACTGAAGACTCCAAGGGACAGAACGACAAGAAATAAAGGAGAAGAGCCCAGAGAAGTTATCTCTTGACCAAAAAACAGAAAATCATCAAGAGCATCACAGACTAATCAAACTTTTGAATGCAGGACTTGTGCAAGGAACTAATTAGAGGGCTCTAATTGTGCCCCTGTTTCACTTTTACACACTTGCAGCGTTCACACAGACTGCTTCCAGATTGCAGTCTAAAGGACAGTTGCTTGGAATCGCTTAAATATCAAGTTCACTCTTCCGTTCTCTTTTTGGGATTTGGCACTTGACAGGTGGTCATTAACTTTGTTTACTCTCAGACAATGGACTTGTCCTTGCTCCCTACTCCAACGAGTGAGTACAACAAGCAGAGGGCAGGAGCACGCTTCACTGTCCGCTCAGCTAACTCTCCCTCCTACAATCTCACTCGCAGGCCAGGTGTTAGAAAACCCAGAGGCTTTTTAGAGGAGCAGAGGGAGGGTACTGAAGAAGCTGGAGAAAGAGAGAGGTACCGGAGGTACAGTGGCACAAATGATACAAATAAGGAGGAGGATCACACAGTCACTGGTTATCAAGCCAGGACTGGGAGTCGCAGCAGTGTCAAAGGTCAGTATGAAGAGAAGGAAACACCAGGCCATATAATGTGTACCAAGCTGAACCAGAATGGCTTGGCAGACAAAAAAATCACAGAGTTTAGCACTGACAGAAGTGGAAGCTGTAACCCTGCATATGAAAACCGTGGCAGGACAGATTCAAGGAGATACAACCTGCCAAGTAGAAGTAGGAGTTTAGATTGGAGAGCAGGCGAAAGAAGCCCTGATCGGGGCAAAAGGGCTGACATATCCGTGTTGTCAACCAAAAGAGGAGGAGACATCAGTAAACTGGCTGGAGACTTGGATGAAAGAAGGACAGAAGTGGAAGGCGTGAGGAGCAGAGTGATGTCTTCAATACAGATCTATAACTCTGCTGGTATAAGTAATGACCTTAGAGAGAGGGGCCCAATGAGTCATATGAGTCAGACTTTGGATAGTGCCAGTAAGGGTCATTCTCTCCCCTCCAGGTTTAGGTCCCAATCTGGGCCTAGATCTGATTTCAGAGGGACAGCTACTTCATTTGGGGCCAAAGGAGGTCAGAGCATATTGGAGCGGATAGAGAAACTCTACGGATCAGCTGGGTTTACTAAAACAGAGGACTGCAGCAAAATTAGGGACGTTTCTACCCCTGTAATGTCCCATCACAAAGAAACAACCTCAGACTTCCACATTTCACCACAGCAGAGGTCATATGAGCGGGCAGCTGGGGAAACCTTCCCCAGGCGGTTCTCATCAGGAGGACTCAGTCCAGTGCAAGGCAGGAAATCATTCACCTGGACACAAAAAGACACTTCAGGTTCTGAGAGTTATCTTTCTCCAGCGACAAACAGGACCATGGAGGGATTGTCAAGGAGACAGTGGCAAGGACAGGGCAGGTATTCGGAGGAAGGGGGAGCTCACTTGAGTAAAGGGTTAGAGGAAATTGGCACAAGGTCTCTGGATAGAGCAAGGAGCAGGTACACTGTAGCAGCTCAGATAAGATCTGCAAGAGCTGCCAGAGCAATTACTGCACCTCCACAGTCAAACACTTTCTTAGAAGAAGAGAGATCAATTTGCTTGAGAGGTTCATCTAGATTGAGAGAGGGAAGAGCAAGTGGAAGTAAGGATGCAGAGGGAAAGGGCGAGACTAATGAACAACAAACAAAAGAAAAATCTGAATTGAAGAGTAGCAGCACTGATGAAGATGTGTTTGAGTCAGACCTAGAGACAATCCCAATGAAAACAATCAAGAGGAAGAAATTCCCAGAGAGGTTGTCAGTCCCCTCTGCAGCCGGTGTGAAA